TTGGTGACAGGGGCCCCAAGTCTTGAACCCGCATGAGTCCTACCGTTCCCGTTCCAGGAACTGTCAGCCCTAAACCTATGCATCCTGACACCTTATATGCCGCTCCCCCGCAGTTCGGGCCAAGCCCCGGAGAGCTTCGAGAGGACTTCTTCTGGCTCCTGGCCTATGTGTGGCCGGCAAGCGTGTGGCCAGCGACTTCGAGATGAAACATAGTTCCACAGAGGGGCCCCGTCTAATCTCGTGGTCAGGGCATTGGTTGCGAAGCTTTTCGAGATGGTTTTGGAGATAGTTTGAGATGAGTAGATGATGGCTCTGCACATCGGTTTGGGAGCAGGCGGGGAGTCCCCGAGCGAAGCGGAACTCCCCTGATCCTTTGATCCCATCTCAGGCGCTCTTCTGCTCGGCCATGGTGTCCCTGAGCAAAAAACTGTGGACCCTTGCTTGGCGCTCTTGCTCCCTGTCACTGCGTGAGGCTGGCCTTGCTCCTTCGCGCTGTCTCCCTGAAAGAGGACAGCAGAGGCTCGTGCTCGTGGACTCTCTGGGACTTGCGGAGCAAAGATGGCCTAGTCGAAAGCAAACCGAGCGTAAGAAAAAGGCAGCCTGTTCCTGGCGGAGGCTACATGGCTGTTCCTGGGCCGCAACGAGTCATGAGAGCGCACGGTGACACAGAAGAGCAATGACTGGACAACATGCCTGGCAGCACTGTTTCAAGACAGTAGCGCTGATTGGGCCGACATCATTATTCGAGGGATGCAGAACTTGTGAAGCAACATTTCGGCACCGTTTAGGTTCAAAGCCGTCATTCTCCTTAGGATCGCCAACACTGTGTGGCTGATCTCCGAGCTCCTGCTTCTGGTCTTTGGAAGTATGTTTACCTTTCGGCGGGAGTGCTCATTGTGGACATGGCTCTGCTTGGAGACGCTGGTCCGTCTGTCTGTCTGCAGCCTGGGTAGCTGCTACGCATCGAGGTTTTCGGACACCCACCCTGGCCTTCGAGCTGCCTGTTCCGAATTTCGTGTGGAGCGCGCGAGAGGTAGCGGGAAGGAGCTGTCATGCATCAGCAAGAATGGACGACGAAGCCATGCAGGGAAGTATTGCCCCATTGTAGAAGGTAGACCAGCAGAGATCTTGGCTGACAGAGATTTTGCCCCCCTGCACATTGCCGTCCCTGCCGGCGGCGTCTAACGTTTTGCATCGATTTGCACAAGCATACCCTCGACAAACAAGTGTGTCACTTGAGGTGTTTTTAAGCCAGGCTGTGGAAGCAGGTTCTGTGGCCATTGACATATTCCAGAAACTTCCTGAGATAGATGCAGTTCTGGGTCGCAAGAAGGCCCCATGGCAACTGGTATCCTTGCATGGCAGAGGGTCGAAGAGGGGCCGGACTCTCTAAATTCCGTCCCGGTACCGCAACAGGTGGGGGCATAGAACTTGAAGCATCTCGAGGTCGTGGCTGCGATAATACTGGTGTTTGCCGCCGCGCTGAATATCCGCGCGACACTGGGCCGCCTTCAGCGCTTCAGCCCAGGATGGAGGGCGCACAAGGCATGTCATGAACAGCGGCCCCCGTGTCCGCAACAGCTGAGGATGACCTCGGACAAGCCGACGCCGAGTGAGATGAGCACCTCGGCCTCGGTTCCAACAGTGATGTGGATGTTGTTGCTCTTTGATTCAGAGTGTATTTCCAGTAGTCCAGTAAAGCAAGCAGCCTGTGCAAGCTTCTCAGATGCTGTCCAGTGAAAGCTGTCTATTTCCTTCAGACTGCTCGAAGGTGCAATCCTTTCGAACACGAAGTGAGTGAGCAGGGCATCCATGATTTCTGTGTACAGCCCCAGCGAAGGGGCCTCTGGGAAGTCGCATCGCGCACCATTGCAAAGAGCGTTCGGCAAATCTTCTAACTTCTAAGTGTACGTCAGGTGTCATGCAGGCACACGGAAAGTCTTGGAGGCCTCGCGTCTTCGGCCAGGGGTGAGCTTGTTTGCCGCGACTCCATGAGCCGAAGGCCCACTTCAGCCTTGGCCCCGAGCTTGTTTGCCTCTTCGCACCATCCCTTCACCGCATCTTAGGAGTTAGGCAAAAGTAGGTAAACTGAGCCTGTGGCCCTTTCGGGGTACTAAATGTCCTCTACACGGCAGCCATCATTAAAGCCACTTCAGCGTTTGGCAGTTCGTCAATCCCACAACCCCGATCTCAATCCCGATGCCCTCGCAGCTTCAGATCCTCCAATACGGGGACTGCAGGAGTCTGACTAGAAGTTCTTGCTCCTCCTGGACTTGCTGTGCGACCTGCAGCTGTGGAAAAAGTTTCGATGAGGGCAGGAATGAGGCCACATGCCAAGTACAACCGCTGGAACTGCCTGGAAGCTAGATGACTCAGCGGCTCGACGATAAGTCTTGACACAGGAACTAAGAGGTCGTTTCACGTCACGCCGAGGTTTCAAGGCCCTGCGTTGCTTGAACGACGTTTGCACCCAATAGCGATGCGAACGTATGATGAATGGGAATTCTGAGAGTGTGGACCACTGAGCCATTGTCACCAAGGGACGCATGACGCGAAGAAAGGGGCGGCCCTTCCCTTAAAGCAGGCCTGAAACTCTCAACCCAAAACTGGTGGTCATATTGCTTATAGAAGCTTTGTTGAAGACTCTGCTTAGAGATGCTTGCATCAGAGATCTCAGCTGGACGGAGTTGTGAGAGATTTTACAGAACGAGGCAAAAAAGAGCAGAGCCCTGAGCCCCGGAGCCCCTGAGCCCCAGAGACCGAGGCTCCTGTGGATCTCCTGGACACGACGTTGCCGGATCCCAAGAGAAATCCACTGACAGTAGGAGATGAAGGCTTCGGGAGTTTGGGTTTTCGAGAGCTTTAGCCGATGCATTGAAGAGGTTGTATCGGGTTTTATGGGTGTGATACGGGTTTGCAGGATTTCGTAAGGGTACGGGCTTCATGGCAGTCTGCTAGAATCACTGGATTTCGTCAGTAAGAGGGATCCTACTAAGAGATGGTAGGTAGTTTAGCTTTTGTTGGGGGACCTTTACATGGAGCTTCAGGATCCGACTGTTTGGAGGCTCGTGGATCTTTGACGCCTTTCTGTTTTCGTCCCAAAGCTCCTGTCTCCAAAGGTTGCGAGGGCGAGCAGAAAGTCAAAGCTACGACGTGGATGGAGAGGTGGATGCAGCACGGGCCTTGTCCTACTTCGGGTTTCGCAACAGTAGCTTTATTAGGTAGCAATATCACCAGCTAGTCCCGAGTGCAATATAGGACCGTGACTGATTGGCAAGGGCCTCTATAAAGTGGGGCAGCCACATGTCGCACCTGGAGTTCAACCCGGAGCGGGGACCAGATCATAGGCTCAGGCGAGCGCCCTCTGTAAACAAATCTGAAACGGTGCTGATTGTGGTACTTGAGACAGCCATTACACGTTGCCGTGTTCGCTGGGTTCGCAGGAAAAGTTGCAGCGCTCGTCGTTGTGCGTGTGTGTCTTAGTGTTCTACTAACACTTCGCGATCAATCAGCCATGCAAGCGGCAAAAAATTAGCTGTTGAAACTTAGGTGTAGCCACTGGAAGTACCGATGGCAGTACCAGGAGTCGTCGCCGCCGTACTAGAGTCAGAGCGTTGCCCTGGATGCCAACCTCTTCATGTAGTTTCCGAAGTTGCTTCCACTGCCTACTTGTAGTGATTGCAGAGCCGAGGTAGATTTGGAGCCAGTCCGCACCTCAGCATTCTCTGGCTGCTTCACCTTCAGCATGGTAGGCCTGCTGACTACATCAGCACTAGACGACGGGAGACGTGGAGTGATAAAAAAGAAGCACGCGCAGCAGACAGTAGTTGCCGAGAAGCCTGTTTGGTTCAATCTTGTCAGCACAGTCATAGCTGGAAATTGGCGTGTGCAATCCGGCCCCACGTCTACGTTCTGGAAGGGAAAACAAAGAGAAAGGATGTTTGTTTGTAAAATCCATACTCGCTGATTCTGGAAGCAGGTTCTGAACATGCAAGCATGGAGGGCCTGCCTCTGGCACAAGTGACACCGTGACGCGGCACCTATGCCGTGCCCCTGGGCTACCGGTAGCCGAGTCTTCGAGGCTTCAAGAAAGCCTCGAGGCAGTGCGGTGCAGAGCCGAAGCTAGTGGCTTCGACTGCGATGTCGTAGTTGCACAGATGAGCGCTGGCTTTCACAAGCTCGGTACGACTTTGTGAAGATGTCACCGCTGTAACTGGGCCATGCCGTCTACCGCATCCTTTGATAGGAGGCCGACGATGGCGCTATTCAAATTCCAGACCTATGCTTCGCAAAACCTATGGTGCGTGATGTATGAGGTGGTTGCACAACCAAAACGCCAACGGAGGTGCGCGGAAAGAAACACCGGTTCTAAAGAAGCCGTATACTTGTGTTGCAAAAAAGCGTGTATTGTGGCTCTCGTGGAAGGCATCATGCACTGCCTCCCCAGCCTTGCTTCAGGTCAGCGAGCCACCGACCCATACAGAGGCACCAGCTCAGAGGGGCGATGCATTGCTCAGAGGAATCACTACGCATCTTCGAAGCTGTGAACAGCCTGTGGGGATCTGCTGCTCACAGATTCTTCTGGCACTTTTAAGGGCTCAAGCACTTTCTTGTCTAGCTTGGCAGAGCGTGTGTGTCTGTGTGTGTGTGCCCATTGTCAGTTTTTCGTTTTATACATTGACCCGCTGAAGCTGGATGTAAACACCTTCAAAGTTGGAGCTGCCCCTGCGCCAAGACGTCCCTTGCACATGCCTACATCGACGCCATGGCAGGTGCTCCCTCGGTGAGAATCCCACCCCCTGCTAAGCAGGAGATCATTCTGCCCGGCTGTCCTCCGGACACGTCGGGAGTACCTCCAAATGATGGTGAGCCCGCGTCCTTGATGGCACAGGCAGACAAAGTCGACCGCAAGGCTGACGGGAAGAGCAATTTCGATAGCATTGTCCCGCCAGCTGTACGTGAAGATGGGTCGAATCTTTTCGAGGCAATAGGCCCCTCATATGTCAACTTACTTGCTGGACCGGTGTCGAGGAGGGAAGTCCCGAAGAAGGCGGCTGGCTGAGAGCCTTTTCGTGGTGCTGCTTATTCCTATGATTGCTGTCGTGTCGGTGTGCCCGTTTCTGGTTCCAATGGCAGCTCCAGGTGCTATGTTGTTGGAAAGCTGGAGATATCTGCTTTTTTATGTCGTGTTCGTGAGTTATGCAGTTGGCGTCTCCGTGCAGATGTGCACTCGTAGCATTCCAAAGGAAAACACTGAGAAAGTGCCTCTGTCAATTTGCTTGCTCATACCCTGCACTGGTTGTGCAGTCACCGTAGTCCTGGAGTTGATGTTGAACAGTGCTGGAGTAGCTCCGATACCGCTGGAATTTCTCGTCACCCGGGTCCCAGGACTGCTGGCAACTTTCTTTGTGACATCTTGCCTTATGCCGCAACTGCGGTCGCGCACCAGCAGGCATTATCTACGATTCCTGGTGATGTGCACTCTTCTCTGGGGATCCTCGGAGGTTTTCCTGCTCGCTTGGTGGGTGTCGTTTCCTTACCTATCTGTCACGGCTCAAGGCCTTAGCTCAGTCGGTGCGACCGCTCTAATTTCCGCCATCAACAGCGGCTTGAAGCGTGTTGGCGGCCGCTGCTTTGACCTGCCGGAGGATCTTACTACCGAGGTGCAGGTATTCGCACTATTTTTTTCGTTCTTGTTTTCCACTTCTCTGATCGCTCAATCCAGGAGTATCGCTGTGCTCTTGTTGCTTGCCCTGCTGGACGCGGGAAAGGCATTGGGAATGGCATTCGTCTCTTTTGCAGAGCTTGTGGCTCTCTACGAAGCAGCGGAGAGATCGGAAGAAGCACCCGACGGCCAATACATGTCATGCGGAGCCGGACAAAGCAACTGCTGGATCAATCGCAAGGCTTTCGTTCGCAAGAAACTTGAGAGCAGCCGAGCTGTCCTTCGCAAAATCCGTGTGTTCGTTTCTGCTGCTGAGGAGCTGACATCACAGCAGCTTAGAGAGATGCACGTCAGCAGTCCAGACGCCCAACAGTATGGACATTTAGCTCGGAGTTTGTCCCTCCTGGTCACTGTGGAACTCTTCGAGACGGCTGTGCCTGTGATTTACCTCATAATGTCTACGCTTCTGACAAGTGCATCTTTTGGGGCGAACAGGAAGTACTTCTTGATCTTTAATGATGAGGAGTACGCAGAAGCTCAGGGTGCCGTGGGCCTCGTGTATGCCCTCCTGATTGAGTTGGTGGTGTATGTGGGCCTTCAAGCAGCTCTTCTGGCTCTGACGGGAGTCAGCTTCTGGGAATTCACAAGTGTCGTGATGAAGAGAGGCTTCCTCTACTGGTCGAGCATTCTTGTTGCAACATGCAAACTCTGGTTCGTGGTGCTTGTGGAGCATGGTGGATGTTGGTTTGTCATGAAATGGCTCAGGAATGCCCTGGCATGAGCTGCCACGGGGCGGGGCGGGCCAGTGAAGAAGTGCGTTTTGCCATGGATGGGCATCAGACTCGTTTTTCCACAAGCGCTGAGTGCACTGGTTGCTCTACGCGTAGGGTTGATAGATTGACCCCATGCGATTGTGCTTGTGTGGTATGGGCACCAGGAAGATTAGCTTTAGGAAGCGAGAACACGAAAGGTCAATGATCAATATTCGGGAGCTCAGAGTTTTTCAGAGGAGGCGTAGGCAGTCTACCAATCTAATACCATTTTCAACAACTGCCGTCGACAGACCTCCGCCAGTTCAGACCTGCCTCGATGTTGGTCGGCGGGAGAAACGAGAAGTGTCACTTTTTGCTAGCTCGGCAGCCGCTGTCGCTAAAGCGTCCGCGCAGCATTTCTTCCTTGGCTTGTCTCAGCCGTCTCAGCCCACATGTTGTTAGAGCCAGGATGCAGACGAGGTTGCCAGTCTGAACAGCAGCGAGGAGGAGGCTCTGCAAGCAATTGCTGGCGAGATGCGAGTCTATAACCTCTGCTTCCTCCCTCTCTGCTCCCTTTCTTTCCAGTCTCTGCAACCCAGCATGCAATTCATGACTCGCTGGTTTCTTCAACCCGCTGACTCTTCGGGGGTTTACAGTTGCAGAAGTCAAGAAGATTTTGGTCGGAACCTGACATGGCAGGCGGACGTGCAATCACCAAAGGCACCGTCCGAAGTGAGCTGCCATAGCGTGTACAGTGGTGTGCCTGATTGAGTGAGGTACTGTAAGATGTCGAACTGTCTTCAACAAACTCCCCGTTTCTTCGCACTACTCCGCGAAAGCGTCGGAGGCGTCCGCGTTGCGCCCGCCGTCCGGGCTTGCAACGCGTGCCACGCAGAGGCCTCCGTGTTGATTTAACTTCATGTCAATGTGCAGCTTCCGTTCTCGCAAGCAGCGAATACAAGGAGTGGGGAATTAATGCTGTCTTGCATAGTGCTGCAGTTGGAGCGGCTCGTTTGCTTTGCAGTGTCGCATGACGAGGCGATTCGGTGTCACGGCGCAGGCCGTGTGCCTTGGGCGCGTGGGGTGGGCCCCCAAACCCAAACGTCACATCGGACAGGGAAGCCACGCCCAAGCCAGGTCAGAAGCCCCTAAGCTTTGCCTGTGAAATCGTCTGCTCTCCTCTGCCTCTGCAGTCCTCCAGCGGATGGAACGTCTCCTGGTCGGAGCCTCGGAGCTTCGCACAGCGACCCCTGGCTTCCGCCGACCAGCCTTTTTGTAGCAGCGTATATCATACCTCTCGCAAGAGCCACACGACGAAGATTTAGGAAGGTGCTGCTGCGAAAGGCCTCCGGTATTGTTCGCCGTTGTACCAAAGACGAGCCATAGCCATCGACCCTATTTAAGCGGTAGGAAGTGAGCCGCAAGGACAGCGCCCGAAGAGAGCAAGACCGCGGAGCTGCTGGGACAGGAAGATTGGAGCAGTGTAGTGCCGGATGGTTATTTCGCTGCTCTGCATGAGTCTCCAATTTTCCTGTATTCCGCTCTTTGGCTTTGTGATCTGTGATCTCCATGCTGTGACCACAGCAGAGCAAGTGGAACGAAGATGTCCTGCTGCATACCCAGGCAAAGTGCTGCGCTCCGTGCAGCATTGAGGCATTGCAGAGTGCAGTGTTTGCAGGGTGCGGGTTTTCAGCCGCTCCGCGAGCTGTCAACAAGAGGTGCGAGGTTGATTTGGGCGACTCGTGACTAAGCCCAACTTCAAGGTCGTTTTTTGCCAGAAATCGGCAGCGTGTTGCCACGTGTCTCTCTTGCGGCGACGTACGACGCAATCATAACTGGGCCCAAGCTTCCTGCAAAGCACCGGTAGACCTCAAGCGTGTGTGCCGTCTGCTTTAAGACAGTCACTGCAAAGAGGCAGTGCCCTTTCATGAAGAAGATCGATGACGATACTCTCGAGTCTCTCGCGCGAACCTCACAGCGCGGTTTGGTGACCACTTTGCAGCCGTTGCAGTCACATGCTGCTAGAGTGTCGTGCATCGAAGTTTTTGCGGCCGTTGGCATGACGCACATTTTGAATCAGCACACAACATCGGCCTTGTGATTGCATCCTCCTCTGTCGCGCGCAGAGGTCCGAGCCATGCCCGTCCAAACCTTCGATCCAGGCAGGGTCGGATCCCGAAGTGACCGTCTCACGTGCCCAGCTTCTCCAGGGTTAATGCGAGCATCAGGAGCGATCGTTTGCCGACAGGGTGCCCGGGATGCCAGGAACTCGGTATAACTGAGCGGTGATTCTGTGCTGGGCTCACGATGAAAGTTCTGTCTAAGGACTGTGCATACGTCATTGTGGAGGGCTCGGTCAATGTCTTCCAGGACTGTGGCTACCGTACTAAAGTTAATACTAACACACCCCATACCGGACAACATCGCTTTCTTTAAAACCACGTAGATACCCAGTTGGTGCAGTAATTTTGAGCTTGGAAGGAGCCGGACCCGGAGACAGACCCGGACGGAGCCCAGGTGGGGCATTCAGCTTGCGTATGACCCAATTGAAACCTAGTGTTCTGCCGTTCCCTATGAACCTACAGATACTGAGATGAGCTGTTCCTTCCCGTGTTACTATGGCATTTGTTGCGTTCATGTGAACAAGTGGAAAGAGATACGAGATCTCACCTCCATGATACTGCCCGGACATTCGGCAAGCACGTCACCATGTCCCGCAACTCCGAAGCCAAAACTCCGCTTCAAGTGAGGTTTTCGTGCGCCCCCTCACCAGAGGGCGCCTCTTTGGGGAGTTCTCCATGCTCTGGAGCACACCACGGACCCGCAGCGTGTACGCCGGGATTTCCGAAAATTAGGCCAGTCCATGACCAGCATGCTTTTCGCCAGGGATGCTGTGTGCTGACAGGTACGTGGACCAGCAGCAGGCAGTTCTGGGTGTGTTGACGCAGGAGGCCGCACCGCTAGGACTTCCGAGAGGGCGGAAGCTGGGCTCCATGGGATGCTCGGTCCCGCTTTTCGCACAGAAATACTGTACGGTCAGAAGGGTCCGGTCAATCTTTCATGCACGGCTGCAGAGGTTTTTCGCAACTTGGTGGTGCGCAACGAAATGAAGGAACGCAGCCGGCGCGAGGCCGGAGCATCGGAGACAAAAGAGGCAAAGCGTTTATGATTTTGGGTGGGTATATGACAGAGGGCCTTACTACTTTCGTGCTCCCGGCGGTGCATCTTCGTCTGTGCTAACGTGAACTTGATGCTCCTGATGCAGCCGGTGTTTTCAATTTCTGACCTTCCGCCAGGCATGCCTTCGTCGCTCAGCGATGCTTGAGACGCGCCTCACCTACAGCCGGATGCTACCAGTATAGACATCGGCTTCATAGTCCAGCAACAAGTCGCCTTCGAAAGTTGCGTCAAATCGGCGGCAGCAGGAGAGGGTAGTGCGAGCTATAGACAAAGGTACGTGGAAGTAACTCGTGGGAGAGTGGGGGCGAGCAGGTGGAGGAGTCTCGCTCGCCCGACAGTGCTTCTCTCCCATGCAAAAAACGACATGTTTCCTGCGCATTTCCCGACAATTTCATACCCTCACAAGCAACTTCGTCGTAGGAGGAGTTCGGCTCCCCGCCCTTGGCCCTTGAAGACAGATGGATAGGAGTGGGAAGAAGGTGTGGAACAACTTGTGGAAGCAAACGGTGTTTCTTGCCCTCCCCACGGGAACTCTAAGGCTGGACGATGAAGAGATTGCGCAGCTGGCAGATGCGCCAGGGCCCCAGTTCCAGTCGCCAGGTCACACAACAGGAAATCACCATCAAAAGCAGCCGGGCGAGTCACTGGAACCCTCGAGTCTATAATCGATAATGGATGTCTGCAGTGTTAAAGCTTAGGTCTCTTTCCCTGGGTCTTCCCTGAGCATCCAAGTAGGGCAAAGTCAAGGAATGCTGCGGCGGCTCTGCCCTTTCAAGAAATTCCACAGGCACGAAAGATAATGTATGGCACGAGCACCACCCTTAAAGTTCTGCCTGTGCATTCACTGCACCTTTTTCTCAAAACTTCTCGTTCTCGCCCTAAGGCTGCAGAAGAAGTGCTTCGAAGAGGGCGAGGCACGAGCTGTGTGGGGTCACAGTGCGAGCTGCCTCTACTCGAAAACACTACCGTACAGCACAGGAGCTTCAAACGGCGTCGTGCTTCTGAAATTGTGTGTCTGTCTTCATAGCACGGATCTACGATTGAGGGTTGATTTTGGGGTCCACTGCAGATGGACTCAGGCCTACAAGAGCGTCCACCCTGACCGTCCCAGAGACGCCCAAAAAAGCTTTCACAAGTTGTCGTTGCAGGTCATTGTCCGACAAGGTGACACCGGCAATGAGCAGCGCACCTACTGGGGCAAGCACATGCTCTCCAGGAACGCACACCCTTCCAAGCTCGCTACGAATTCACTCCGGCCGTAAAGGCTGTTCTTGGTCCATCCTCTCAGACCCGAGGATTGCTGTTCTCGAAAGCTTGTCCAAAAACCAACATGTCAAGCAACCTACGTACATGCGTCTCCAGCTGCAGAGCATAGAGTTACCACTACTCTGTGATCGATGCGTCGTAGATCCAGCGGCAACACAGTTGCCCCCGCTAAATCCAAAAGAATGCCAGACAGAGACATGCATCGTCGTACCGGCTCAGGCTTTATGTGGTCCTGGATGGTACCTGTGCAGGGCGCCCGAAAGTGTGGAACGGGAAAGCTGGCACTCGGGATTTCAGAGTCTAGAGCTCGAGTCTGACCTCAGCTCCTGAAGCCTGTGAGTCCTCACGTATATCTGTACATACGCATAATACACACACATACATATATATATATACATTGATATATACACGTGTGTATACTATACATTTACACGTACATGCATACATACATATATATATATATATATACATATGTATATTTACATATACATATATATATATATGTGTGTGTATATACATGTTTGAATACACAATGCAACAGAACCTTTAATGTAGCATCGCATAACAACACGGCAGACTAAGTTATACTGTCATACTACACTATACCATGTTGTGCTATACTATAGTTTAGTATAGTGTATCGTAGTGTAGTAGTAGTAGTCGTCGTAGTAGTAGTAGTAGTAGTAGTAGTACACATATATTTATATATATATATATATATACACATGTGTGTGTATATACAGATACATATACAAGGCCGTAAATGCACAAATGATTAACAAACAACGCGTATGTATACATATACATACACATGTACATATCTCAGCATGCAATATATATATATATATATGCATATGTATATGTGTATATATATATATGTATATAAATGTATATATGTTATAATGTGTGTTTTGCTGTTCTTGCAGAGGTTCGCTGCACTTTGGAAAATCGTGGTCGCTGGTCTATGGATGTCAAGCATGATCAAGGATGTATTGTTACTGTCAGTGGCACGTTCCATGTTTTCGGCTCTTGTGCATCATGCGCATGGACTGAGGTGGTGACCGTAGAGACCGGGTCCAAGGACAGAGACAGAGACATCCAGGAGACTTCCCATCTCAAGTCACATAATGTACATCCGTTATTGAGTAAAGCGTTTTTTTTCATGCCGGTATAAGGGCAAAGCCTCGACCCTTGAGTTATTGTCGGTTCAATTTGACTTGCTCAACTGCTTGACTCATGTCACATGTCCACATACTGCAACCTGGCAGTAAATCCCGAAAAGCCGGCACCCCCAAAAAACCGCAAGACAATGCACCAACGAAGCCAAAAAGTTGTGCGTGTTCTTTTTATTATTTCTTTCCGATGTCTCCTGTGTGTTTGTGTGTTCTTTTGCCTATGTCGCATCGCCCCGCTAGTTTGCTGAGCATCGCTGCTTGTGCATAGTAGATGTGAGGCTTGGCGGTCGAGTGATGTCTCGTGGGTGTGAACTAGAGGGGCTTCTGAAGCAGAACGCTTCTCGACAACATTCAGCGGAGACCGTATGGAACCGGGCAGAGTAGTCTTCAAGAACTGCGAGATACAGACAACACATGGTACTTCTGGTAAACATTCGCAGAACATCCATGTCGCCTGTACTTCCAACTAATGAAGGCTTTCTAAATTACTGACAGGCAAAACGTACATGTGTTTTCATTTGTTGGTTTGAATTTTTTCGCTGAGTATTTCATGAATTGTCGCCAGAAACAACGAGCTACCCTAATTACAAATCTTCCTTGCTTGGATAGAAAGAGACTCTTCAACACAATTCAGCTTTCAACGAACAGTTTTTCAGTACAGTACAATTATTCATGTATTTTTGTCGATATTTGACCGAAGGGCACAGTAAGATTCATTGAGCATGACCCAGCCATGTTGAACCAATATTTTTGCCCAAAGGTAAGCTCATGTTTGGTTAACGGGAAAGCACATCTTTTGCAAATCCATCGTGTCAAACAAGGGTTGGCTGCACTGTATGCAGCATGTCAATGCATGTTCGGTCATCAAGTGGTGAGTATGTAGTAGCATGTAACCGGATTTCAACCACCCTTCTAAATTGATCATCTGATGAACGCCCATAAAAATGAGTCAATATCGACAAATAGTGGAGCAACTAAACATTGAGCTAGGTAGTGGCATAAACTACCAAAGGTAGTTGACAAGACGCAGCGGTTAAGCAAGTGAGTGCATCAGAGATTGACTACCGCTTATTTCATTGTTGCATATGCAACACTAAATGCGACGTGTGCGCAAAGTTGTCATCATTGACCGAGCTTTGACATGTTCATGATACTCTAGCCTGCCATTTCGTGCCCTTGCGTTGCGAGACTCTTGATGCTGGCACGGCAGAGAGAGAGAGAGAGAGAGAGAGAAATACACAATCTCAGAGTTAGGTATTTGCATGTACAGGCGGTTAAGTATCCAAGACATGCAGGTTGATGTGACTTGTTTAAGTTCTTACTCAGCACTGCTTGCTGCCGGCTGTGCCTGTCAGTTCTATGTGTCTTCATTGCTACTTTGACGCGTATTTGCCCTGCAACCAAAAAATGGGCCTCTGGTTGAGCATGTTGAACGTCCGACAAGAACCCGGCATGACGAGACAGCACGCCCATGCGCCCCGACAAGGACGTCGCTCAAACAAAGACATGCTGAACTGCAGTTTGGAGTTGCATGAACTTGTTCCTTTCAATGTGTATGTCCGGTTTGTTTCCAATAACGTTGGAAGCAAATCTGCTGTGAGAAGCTGTCCGGTCTCTTTCCTTCTTGGAGCAGGTCTGGTTTCTTTCTCTGTTGTAAGCGAATCTGCTGTGAGAAGGATGACGGGTTGCTTTCTGTATTGGAAGCAACTCTGCTGTGTGCAGCTGCCCGGTCGTTTCGTTTTGGAAGCTGGCCTGCTGCCAGTCAATGTCAGTAATCCTTCTAAGTTGAATGTCCGGTTTCTGTCCTCGTTGGAAGCAGATCTTCTGCCAGAGAATGTCAGGAATTGTCCATGATGGGAGCAAATCTGCTTTGAGAAGCTGTTCGGTTTCATCCCTTGTTGGAAGCAGGTCTGCTGCCAGAAATTGTCGGGTTTAGTTCTACGCACTTGGACGCAAGCCTGCTGTGAGAAGCTGTCCGGTTTGGAAGCATAGCTGCGGTGAGAAACTGTCCGGTCTCTTTCCTCGTTGCGGCAGGCCTGTTGCCAGAAAATGTCGCGGTTCTTATGTTGGAAGCAACTCAACTTCGCTCGACTCACAGTGTGGGCTTTCTAAACATTCCTTTCCCTTACAACTTGATATCTGCGCAGGAGTGCAAGCGATGCTATGCGGGAGACATGTTCGGGGAGAAGGTGCTTCTCCGAGGGTCGGCCTCAACTAGAGCTAGGAGCGGGTTTACAGTAGTCGAAGTGGCGCCACTCGGCGAAAACAGCCAGAGCCAGAAACACACCAGAGGTTTGTTTGCGTGACCTTTTGGTGAAGAAGCGCCATGCAGGAAGCGAATCAACGAGACTCGCAGACAGGTTTCCGGCCAGGTTGAAAGGCAGATCTTACGTAATCCTGCGAATCCAATGTCTTGCGCATGCGTTGGTAGTTTTTGCATTTCCGCGCAGTAAACTCTTTAACCTTGTCAAACCCCAGAATCCTGAAGCCCTTATTGTCCGAGTTGTGAGAGCGGGAAAGTCCTTCTTTGAAAAACTCCCAGACAGCCCCCAAGCCCGATGCAGGCTTTGCTGGAGAAGACAAAGCGTTGCGCCACGGTGTCCGCAGCCACGAAGGTGGAGGCCAGGTATCCTCCCGGGCCTACTAATTACATTGCTGGTGACTGCTAGTCTTGCTTTCCTTGTTCTTGAAACTTGTATTCAAAGTGACCGGAATTCTGGTCATCATCATTGAGAGTCGGATCATTATGAGCATATGGTTGTTGATTGTAACAGTGCTAACAGTGTCGTTGTTAGAGTGGCGCGTGCAGGTGCTGTTTTCCTTGATCCGGCTTTCTCTTGCGCTGGAACTGCCTAGACTTTTTAGATCAACTTCTGGTCGTCTCTGCTTGCAGAGGAAGGCGTTAGCAAGCTTATCTTTCGAATGCCACCGAGTTTTTCCTTTCAGCCAGCCATATTGACATGCATACATACATACGTCACATACATACGCACATGAAGCAAACAAACAACAATCAAAAGCCAATGAATGAATGGAATACGAATGCCGGCATGTATAATGTATTAGTGTAATGTAGTGAAATTACTCCAGCGCCTGTGCTAGAACATGCAATGTCATGGTGTGTATGTGTGTAATGTATGTTCCGTATCTATACATATCTGTTTGTGTGTCTATCTGTCTGTACATATGTATATATGTTTTTGTGTATGTATGTATGTATGTATATATATATATATGTGTATACGTATGATTCAAGGAACTAGATATTCCTGACGCCTTGAACAATCTTGCAGGTGCTGGCCCTTCGGCGGGATTCCTTCGAGCGAATGTACAAAGCTCAGCGACCGAGCCCTTGTGACCCATACACCGATACAAACCCTGACGGTTTCCGGTGACTCGAGACACGCCCCGAAGAAACCTTGCCGCTGTGGTCTCAAATCTCAGACGACACCCCGTTCTAAGCTTGTCTGATGGTTGACAAAACCCGAAGCGAAGATTCGAGGCAAGAGCCCCCAAGGGAAAGGGTCCCAAGAAGGGGAGCGGTCGGCTCAAGGCTTTCATCGAAAGCTGCGCAGGAGGGGGCGGGGGAAGTCCATGGTACAACGGAAGTTGGAATGTGCAGTAATGCGAAGCTTGCAGAGAGGGTAACGGAAACTTCGAAGGGGCAGTTCAGATTGGTTGACACGGCGGAGCGTGGACGATGCCTAGAAGCAGCCGTGGACCTCATTGCTGGGCAAAGGATTCAAGATCTCCCCGTCTTACCACACGGCTCGAGTCTGGGAACACACCTCGCCGCTGCTTCGGAAAAGCCCACGGGGTCCCAGGAGGCCGAGGCGGCCGAGGCCTTGGAGGTGAAGTCGGTGGAGATGTTGGCTGCCCTGGACTTCCTCGCATCTCTCGCTCGAGCCCTCGCGGCTGCGGCTGCGGCGGAGCTTGGCTTTGAGGAGGAGCTGCTGATGTCCTTGTACCAATTCCCGCCGGAAGCGCCTCCGCCGCGGGTGCCCATGATCCGACGATGGCACAAGAAGTGGCGGCCGGACGTGGCTGCAGCTGTGTCCGTTCCTTTTCTTGAGGAGGCATGGGCCCACGTCGTCCCGAACTGGCGTCAGCTCACCGTGTCCCGCCCATGCTGGAGGTGGATAGAAACTCCAGCAGGTGCAGAAGCTTCACTGTCTCACGACGTCGTGTGTGGACTTTGGCTCCACATGGCCCTTTGCGAGCACTCCTGCGATCCGAACTGTGCCTTGATCCACGACGGGGAAAGCTTGTGGTTCACAGCCCTGCGGCCGATCTCTGCGGGAAGTCCCATCACCACGTCCTACCTGAGCACCGGAGCCTTGCTGAGACGTTTAACGCAGCGCCGGGAGGAGCTCCGGGAGGGCTGGGGCTTCCTCTGCGCCTGCGCCAGATGCACAGCAGAGGAAGAGGAGACAGAGGAGATGGGGAGAGAGGCAGAGGCGAGCGAAAGCCCAAGCAAAAGCCCAAGTGGTCTCGAGGCACTGCTGCGAAGCTGCAGTTCTCCGCCCCAGCTAGCGGCCGACTCGGCCGACTCCGACTCCGTTCGACGGGACTACTGCGAGAAGCTGCAGGAACTGCAAGAGAAGGTCAGACAGCTTCACGGGAGATTTTGCCCCTCCCCAGCCGAACTGGCCCTGCTGCTCTTGGAATCCATCTTTGCCCCAACGGAGAAGCTCCGTGAAGACGCCTCTGAGCGTCATTGCTCTGCCTGCCAGCAGCTTTTCGGAAGCACGTCGTCCTACGCTCAGTGGTCCTTGGAACTGTTCCGATGCCCAGAGAGCTGCCTCGAAGGCAACGGGAACGAAGAAAGCCCTCGGACTGCACTCCGCGATGCCTACGCGAGGCACTTTGCCTCGCGACAGTGGACCCGTCGGCGCAGGGGAGCCGAGTACGTGGCATGGAAGGCTGCAGCTTGAAAAGGCCACTCGCTCGGCTGTCCGTGAAGTTGAAGGATGACCAAGACCATGAACCCCGTCGCAATCCCTCTAATCCAAGTAGACGTCTCGGGAGAAGTACTGTCATGAATTGGTTTGCCAAGAGACTGCAATGTGTCTCTCACCGGCTGAAGATGTTTCGGAGTCTCCGGGTGGGTCCCAGTCGAAACCTTAGAACCCTCATTAAACTCAGCAAACCTTAACCTTTACAGGACCCTGTTCCAGTACTTTCTGAACCCTTGATGGGCCCTTTAGTAATGGTATCGGCCTTTTCAGGACCGTGAGCCACCGCTGAAGATTCCCTGTTGATTGATCGCCCTCATAAAGACTGTTAACATGTCAGCCTCTGCAAAGCTCTTCTAAACGACGAAGTGTAGGAATTATTCCTCAATTCAATCGGAATCCTCAGAGAGCCCTTAACCCTGCATGCCAACCTTTGACAAAAACCCTCGTCTATCCTGCTGAAGCCTTTCCAAAACCTTATCAGATTATCAGAAATGCCTTGCATCCAGGAAGAGCCCATGAAACCTTTCGATGAAGCCGTGATAAGCTGTGGTTAAATTCTCTCATGAAAACCTGAGTGAACCTTTCTGCCTTTACGAAACCCGTCGTGTAACCCTGATTCAAAGCCCTCATGACACCCTCGCTTTCCTGAGGCTTGGGCCCCTTAGCCAGCTGCAGAAGATCCACTATCTGTGTGATCCAAGGTGGAACTGGGGTTTAGAGAATGTTCATTAGGGGTTTACAGGGAGGCTTTTTTGTGGTTGTTGACTCAGGGGTTATTGTAAGGAGGCCATAATGATGTTGCATTATAACATATTGCAACCGTTGTCTTCACAGGCTTGATAATGATATTGCAGTCTTTTGGTGGGCTGCAACGGACTCATAATCCAACTCTCACTAAGTACCCGTTGCTCCCCCGTGCTACACGCACGCATCCACTCACGCACTCACTGAGCAAGGCATATGTAGACTGGGCGAGAATCTGGGAACGCGTGCAACGTCTGCTCCCTATGGCCAAAGTGCGCACGTATGCGCACCTCTACTAGCCGAAGATGCGCAGCTCACCCTTGGCGAGCCTTTGGGATGACAGCATACTTTGAATCTAGCTAATTGAACGCTTCAGCATACTACCAGAACGATGTCAGCAGGAAGACTGATCTGGTTCCGATGGAACTTTCCCAGATTAGACCAAGATCACCCAAGATGCACCACGCATGCTGTGCACTTGGGCAAAAAGGCGCAGCATCGCCGACTTCTACCTCCCGGGTGACCAGAGTGGCCCTGCAGGCCGCAGAGCAGTGCCTGCAATGGGGGTGTTTGCTCTTTCGCAGTTCTTTGCATTTTGCATCGCGAGGCGTCTGCAAAGAAAAGCACACAGGCTCCGTACTCAGCTGTGGATCTTTGTGTGTGTCTCCCTTTATGGCTGCGTGTTGGCAACGTGATTCTCTACTTGTAGTGCGCCGTGAGAGTGAGAGGCGAGGAGACGGACGCGACCACCTGGCGTGGACCTGAGATGCAAGAGTTCGATCGTCTTGTTGAGGCTGGTTATAAGAAGTGCTATTCTGAGAAGTACCCATATCGTTGCGGCGGTTGCTTGCCTGTGGACCAGCAGCCGCAGTCCCCTGCGCAGGAAGGGTAGCTCTCGAGCAGAGACGCGAAGCTTGAAGACATGACGGAAGAAGTGGTAAGGGACTGCTCAAAGAATTCCACTTCCGGAGCACTTGATTTGCTAGTCGGCGAGTGCCAGTTTGGCAGCATCTAGCGTCACCTTGGCCTGCATGCTTCAATGCCACTTAATGCGAGAGGCAAGTCGAGAGTCAACGGCTTCAGTTTCTGAGCCGAGGTTCGCCGTGTACCGCCCAACCTCCCGTGATGCGATTGCCAAGATGCTGAGCGGCGCGGCTGCGCGGGAGCCCGGAGCGCTGAACAAAGGGCAGAAGTGCGTCGTTCAGTGCTTTGGGGGAAATGGAACGCGGCAACGCCGAAGACAGTTTAAGCGGCCAGATAGTAACTGCTCACATTCGTTGAGCTTCCGAGCACAGGTTGGCAAGGGGCTGAACGTGAAAGGCAAGTCAGCCAAGATGCCGTTCCAGCCCGAGCTGCTGGCAACGTGGCCACGTCTTTCTTCGTCGCTTGGTACTGTTGGCACCGTGGCTCAGGAATCGGCTGTCGGGATTCGTGCCCTTCTTGCAGATCAGCCAGGCGACCCCGGAAAAAGAGACACCTTTCCATACTGAGCTTTGCACGCAAGTTGCAGGAGAGCCACAAGTCCGAGATCGAAACGTCAGGACCTTGTCAGAATGAGGCTTGTTCCAGAGGACAGGGACACACACTTCCGAGAGAGCTCGCAGAAGTGGGAGTAGCTATGATTCAGCAGCAGGCATCAGTTCTGCATGAGGTCCCCAGCAGATGCCCGTGTTTGCATCTACTTTGCCTCGGAAATGCTGCGTCAAAGTGTCCGGGACTTGGGGCCAGTGTATGTCCATTGCGCTGCTGGTTGGGATGGGGTAGCGTCGGCGTTTCACGTCAATTGTGTTTCCTTCCGCTATTTCTAACTCATATCCCACTGCTCCAGCTGAATGGCAAACGCTCTTCGACAGTCGACCCTGCAGCTTCAAACTGCACCACCTTGCACGGCCAGCACAGTCCCAAACGTTCACTGAAACTGCTAGCCTGATCACAAAGACACAGACATCGACCAGCACACAATGCACACACATGCGGTCATAACCAGCGGAAAACACGCAGTTGCAAGACAGGATTAGCCCAGCTCTGGTGAAATTTTGTGTTGCACAGGAGCTTGAAACCCTATGGAGGGCCCTGAGAAAGGGTCGTTGCTCTTTTTTGGGAATAAATTGGAAGAAGGACGAATCATTTTCGGTACGTTTTTCCTGGGTTTCGCACCGAAATCCAATGTTTGTCCTGTTCTGCCTTCTTGTAAAGAACCCTGTGGAACAACGGGACTAATGGAATAAAACATGGGATTGTGTTGAACATGAACCATTTTCGGTGCTTTAGGAGTGTTGGCATAGAGGCCTAGGATTATCCTCTGTTTATCATATGTTCTACCATTTTGCGTTTAACTCGAGGGTAACAGGAATAAGCTGGGAGCAACATAGGGACATAGGGTTGTGCTTTTCCCATTTCTGAAAATCATGAGTTCCTAAACATTTTTCCACAAATCCGTATGCAATGAATTTGTGACTTTGCTCGTCACTACCCTTTGCCTCAAAGACCCCCAACCTGAAAGCAGGAGTCAGCTCCTAACCGGGCATTTACTCTTATGGCTAGCGGGGGCTGTTTTGCATCTGGAGTCTGGCTTTCGGGAGTTCGACTTTCGGGAGGACTGTGATTGAGAGGCGACCTTCGGAGACCCTGGACTTGCAGACACTTCAGTTCTTGCGATTTTCTTTCGGACGAGTTCCGAGTGGTGCGACTTTGTCAGCTGGGCGGGCAGGAAAAACCTAAACACTCAACATTTTGATCCCGAAGTGATCACTGTGACAGGCCATGGTTCAGCTGCAAGCACTCCTGGAGACAAGCTCGCCCATGGAGGACAGTGAACCTTAGCCCCAAGCCCCGAACCAGAAGCCGCGAGAGCCGAAACCATTCTAATCAAAAACCATTCTGGCCATGGCCCAAACCTCTCTCAGGAGGAGAGAGAAGGGAGTCTCTCCCCGGGTTTTCATCAACTCTGCCATGAGTGTGCTGTCCTCCAAGGGAGACCCTACCCCCCAATCCAAGCCCGTAACCCCACATCATATCCTCAACCGGGCCTCAACCTATACGCTCATCTCAGATTGACATCCTGAGTTGGCTATCACGCATAGTATGTCTCACCTCAGGAGCCCAGTTTCAGTCGCCCCTCGGCATCCCGCCGCGTAGCTTGAGCGTTTGAGGATGGTTGGCTTGCTATGAAAACTGGAGTACCGTCAGTGACCGTTGTTGCAGTCCTGCATTAAACCGCACATGGGTTCCACCTCACCTGGGCTCGAGGGTGAGGGCCGAAACCTGTACCCATCGATACCCTAAGCCCAAAACCCCTAACACCCCTGGCCCCGAAAGGGGTTTCGGGGGAAAGTCTCTTCGACGCTCAGCCAAGCCGCGGAGCTCTGAGCTTCCAGGAGCCGGAGATTCGGCTCTTGGACCACTACGAATCGGTGCCCGGCCTGGATGTGTCCGGCAGCCCAGTAAAGTACCTGTTGCGGGTTGTTCCGAACAGGGAATCATGTCGGGCTTGTAGACTGAGGCCCCCCCGCAGCATATGGATAGTTCTCCAAGTTAGCGGCCCCTTTGGAGCGGCTACAGAAAGAGTGATGTTTGTTTGGGAGGGGGATCCAAGATTGGACCTGGATTTCAGTGTGAGTCAGTCATGGGCTGCTTGTGGAGTATTGACACAACTTGGCCTTAGCGCAAAATGCACGATATTGAAAATGATTTCTAGTTCGTGTCCTTGTAAAGAGGATCCTGTCGTATCTCTAGTGGCGTGCGTGTCTTTCTGAAACTCCCCACTTCAAGTTTCGAAGATGACGAGTCGAATGTGAAGCGGGTGAAACCATGTGCATGGACGAACCCTCGAAAACCTTGCAGACATCTGCGAGGTCCAGTTGCAAGCAAGAGAAGCTCATCACAAGACATGAGGATGTCCTTCTTCGTGAGTTTCATTGTTGGGGTGACTCCATGTTCCTGGAATATACAAGAAACTACGCTGAACGCTCGTAAGCTCCGACACCGTAGTCTCCGTGGCTCAAGTCTGCCAAGCTGCTCAGATCTCAGATCAGGTTTTGCGGTCTGTGCGCTAGCGCGCAGGCCGTTACATGTTCGCGTTTCAGCGATGCGCTTTGGTTTCTTCGTCGCCTTGATGTGGGCAGTATCTGTGGAAAGTGGCCGACTCGCTCCTCAGCACCAGCTGTCTGCAGCAGGGACTCTTGGATACAATGATGTCTGTTGCTGCAAGCGCCACAAGAAGATCCATAAGACGCTCCGGAAGGCTGGAAAAACCGTCAACATGAAGCAGTCGGATTGCCAGATGTTGAAGCAGATGAGACCGGATCGGCCGTTCTGGTGGTACTGGGGATCCAAGGAATCTGAGCCGCGATGCTGCTGGACGAGCCCGTACTTCTGCACACCCACTATCGGGTTTCTCATGATAAACAACGATGGCGGAAGACGGATCGAGGAGAAAGACCGCGAAGGGCTTTGCCCGGCTACAGATCCCCGGGGAGATGTGGATCCCATCGACAAGACCTTCGCCTACAACCAGCTTATCAACCACCTCACAAGCGACATCCGTGATGCTTTGATACTGAAAGTAGTTGGGATGGCGGTGGGAGTAGCAGCCGTGCATGGCGGGCCTGCTGCACAACATGCTCAAGCTTATAAAAGTGCAGGCACACTCAAAAGAGCTGCCGAAGGTGCCTTGGGAAAGGCCTTTGATGGCGCTGTGCGCCACCGGCTTGTGTCCGCGTCTAATCCGCCGATAATGGCCCCCACAGAATGGTTTCGCTACGGTGGTGATAAGCCCCTGGAGGTCGCAAAATCTGTTCACGTCTTCAACCACGGGAAGGAGTTCCCTAATGTGAGGGATTGGTTTCACAACGAAATGCGAGAAGATGGTCATGCGATTGTCGTCTTTCAGGACCCCAGCACCTATGTGCCTCCGGCGAGGAGGACTCTGGCTCTGGCGAATGCTTCTGCCCGGGAGTTCTGCGGGGAGGATTCTCAGCAATTTGCCACCGTCTGTCTCAAGATGAATGCAACCGGCGATGTTCTATCCGTGAAAGTCGATGTCGATCTTAAGAAGGAGCTGAATGTCACAAGCGAGGCGGACGGCCCCTGATCCTTTGCTCAAGTCATGAGATGTAGGACAACCGGCCGACAGAAAAGACATGTAGTGGACATAAGTCAGACCGACCTGAAGTCCCACGTCAACTTACTGTGTTTGGGCTCTGATGCTTCCAGGCTGATTGTTTCTCTGTTCGGAAATGCTTCCGGGAGTTCCCGCGCGAGTGTTGCTCAGATCTGTTTGCTGGATCTGGGGTTACAGCTCCTGAGCCACCTCACGTTCTCCCTGACGATGAGGCCGATGCACCTGTCTCGAACCCCTAGAGTGCTGGAAGTCTGAAGGCTTAAATGCCGGGCCGAAACGCTGTCAACAGCCCATGCCGCGGACGTGCCCAGGCCTGAAGCCGTCGTGCAGCAGGCATTCATCTTGAAGCTCGGGCCTCAAACTCCGCAGTCTCACGCTGTTGTTGGAGTTTAGGGGTTTCGATGTACACCTGTCATGAAGCGAGAGTAAACGAGGCCTGACATCCAGCCGGCTGTTGGATGGGAGACAGGCCGACGAAGTGTTGTGTTGCGAGCTTGGGAAATGAAAGCCGAAAGGGCTCTGGACTCTGACGGTTCCGGGTCTTGAGGGATTGCGAACCGCTTGACTTGAAGCAGGGGTGTTCATGGGTCTGAATCCTGTTTTCTTGATGACCACCCTGTTATGTCGGTTCGTCCTTGCCAAACGGCGGAGAAGAAGCCCTCAAAGAAGTGCAAGTTGTTTCATATTTCATGCCTTTGGCACGTGCCCCCTCCCCTACTCCGTAAAGTCTTTGCTCCGCTGTATTGTAACAGCCCCGAACCCTCGTCTAATTCATGAGGCCACGATGTAAATTTTTTTCATCTTACGAGGTATTAGCCTTCCAAACATCTCATGAATGATAACACCTAGACTCGCCCTACGAAATCTATGAGAACGAGAACCCCTATACTAACCCTATAACATCTCGTGATAGCCCGTATGAAAGCGGCACTGAGCAGGTCGCGTTTCCGAGCCCGCTCTGACCTCAAATTCGGCTCGCAAGGGATCGAATTAATCAAGGCAGCCCATGTTGCGCCTTAGTTAAGGTGTTAAGGGTAGGGTTTAGGGGTTCTGTATAACTATAAGGGCATTATGGGTTGTATAAATTTTCGGGTTTGGACAGGGCAACTTACGGGGCTTAGTTTTGAAGGTTTTAGGGCTTTAGGGGTTTAGTTGAGGGTTCCCTAGTTGAGGTTCCTATAATGGTTCCTATAATTAAGGGCTTTATGGCTTCAGGGCTTGGGGTTTGAGGCCCGTTCCAGGGTTCAGGGTTTCCCCTTTCAGGTCATCCGAAAAGCAATCACTGTTTCGAGCATTCTTCCCGATTTAAAGGGGATGGACCCCCTGGTTTCTGCAGAAGTTCCCGTAGCTTTCATATTGTACCCATACCAACTGAGTATTCCCGATACAACACGTTATTACAAAGACCCTGCTTATTGAGTCCTCTGATTCTTTACGCCTTATGCTGCATTGAGTCCGCTTTTTGCCCGAGGTCGTTTTTAGAGACCACCAAGAAGCGACCCGCTGCAAAACAGGATAGGGCCAGAGAGCAGCGACACCCGAGAACAGGACTGGGGCAGAACCAAGAAAGGACACGCTGGAAACAAGCTAGGGGCAGAGAGCACCAAGAAAAGACACGATGGGCCAGAGAACACCAGGAAGGGACACACTGCAAACTGGATAGGGGAAGACAGCACCAAGAAGCGACATGCTGCAAACAAGGTGGGGCAGAGAGCACCAGGAAGCGACACACTGCAAACTGGAAGGGGCAGAGAGCATCAAGAAGCGTCACGCAGCAAACAGCATAAGGGCATGCAGAGAGCACCAAGAAGCGACACGCTGCAGACAGGATAAGGGCAGAGAGCGCCAGGAAGGAAGCGCCACGGTGCAAACAGGATAGGGGCAGAGAGTACCAAGCACTGCAAACAGGATAGGGGTAGACAGCACCAAGAAGCGACACGCTGCGAGCAGGATAAGGGCAGAGAGCGCAAGGAAGCGAAACGGTGCAAACAGGATAGGGGCAGAGAGTACCAAGCACTGCAAACAGGATAGGGGCAGAAAGCGCCAGGAAGCGACACGCTGCGAGCAGAATAGGGGCAGAGAGCAGCAGGAAACGAAACGCGCAAACAGGGTACGGGCAGAGAGAACAGAAACCGACACACTGCAAACAGGATAAGGGACGAATCAGCAGGAAGCGACACGCTGCGAACAGGATACGGTCAGAAAGCACCAAGAAGCGACAAGCTGCCTTAGGCCGTGAACTCCTCAACCCCTACAAACCCTAAGAGCCAAAGCTTTCCACTTACGAAGCCTTGAGGCCTTCATGGACATGAACCTCCAGGCTTTGCGAGGCACCTCTCGGCCAAAGGTGGTCCTTTACCAATTCGACCAGGAGACGGGTTTGGGGTTTAAGGGAAGCTCTGAATCTGATGTCGATTCTGAGTCTTGGAGGGTTTTCATAGTATCGAGTTTCGATCATGTGTTTTGGCAATCTCTGAATATCCGGTGTCCCGACTTTTTCATGGAGGCTCTTACTGTCGAGGAACCTACCGTGGTCTACACTGAGTTGCGAGTTTCGGTGAAAGTCAGGTCGACAGTGTCCTGTTAAGCAGTGCCCTCCTGCTTGCTGTGACAGCTCGGGCGTGCGATGAGCGGCTCGTGCAGGATAACCCAATGAACCCACATGGCCTACTCATCGCTTATGCAGAGAACACGGTGAAGCCGGCGGATGCCTCAGGGGTAATGAAATCCCTACGAAGCATGCCCTCATCAGTCGATTCTGGTAAGCCGAGACTAAACAGCCAGTTTGCAATTAGGTTGTGTCGGACTTCGACACCTTCCTGGCGCGGCACTCGGGGATTCCAAGGTTGACAGGATTTGCCTGGTCGTTGCTGTCCGGCTGTGCCGTAGGAGCCTGTCACGTTAGAGACGCTGGCGCAGAAGCACACGGGCTTTGCAGCTTGACGCTGTGCAATGTCACACACCAAATGGGCAAACGTTCCTCTCGCTCTCCTTGCTGTGTATGCACCCGCCGTCACGTGTGAATGCAGATGCACAGGTAGATCCTCACAACAGTTCTCTCAAGCTCTCTCAACAGATCCTCCTGGTCATGTTTGTGTCTTCATGCGTGCATTGACTTGTTCATGTATTTCTGTTCCGCGTGCCTGTATGTTTGCACCCCAAACCCAGCATAAACCCTCAGCCCAGGCCCTAACTAGAACCTTTGGTCCTTGTGATGCCTAAAACAACGAAGATCCCAAACCTGAAGCCCAAGGCCCTTACGGTGCCTTACAGTCGTCGTTGGGGTACCTCGCATTGAACCTGCAGGGCAAGCCTTGTACGAATCCTCCTTGTTGAGGTCGGAAGCCGCGGCATGGACTACGAGCACCTAGCGCCGGAGCAAGCCGAGCTTTGCCTCTGGGCCTGGCTCCTCAGGTACAGACAGGGAAATGAGAGACATATGGGAGTTCCAAGAATCACTATAGCCGATGGTCGTAGATGCGTAGGTAGATAGATGCACGAAGCCTCCCTGCATTCATTCCTTCCTTCCTTCGTTCCTTTATTCAATCACTCATTCATTGGTTTGTTTTTTCACTCATTCACTCATCCACTCATTCATTCATTCGTTCATTGCATGCATACGTACATACAGACAGAAAGACAGATCCGTTCATCATACATGCTCGCATTTTGATGGTAGTGCGAACCGTCATCATGCAGACGAGATTGGGCGGTTCTGCCCATGTATTGATGAAAGTTACCCTGCGCTTTTCATTGTCATTTTCTCTTAAGTCTCAAGCTTCCGCCTGTCCTGCGAGCGGGTGCATGGGTGCAGATGCAGGGCCAGAGAGATCCCAGCGCCTAGAGCCGAGAGACTGGAACTTGATCTGTCAACTCCTCCATAACTACAGACCCTGCAGACCCACACATACCCAGTCAAGCACCACAAGGCCTCCCTCAGCGCCTCGGGCCCATGACTCCATGAGGCTTTGGACCACACTGAGAAGATTCTGCGGTCACCCTCCACCTCCTCCTGGACATCGTGGGCACCCGAGCCTTCGGCATCCAGAGGAGAACAATTCCAACGAGAGGAGATTTAGAAAGAATATCATCCCTCGCTGTAAGGGTCCGGTGAGGGTTCCAGGTTTAGGGCTGGGGCCTAGCTCAAGGGCACAGAATCAGAAAGAATTAGCAAGAGCACCCCATAGACCATAGCGTTACTGTATCCCGAAATCCTACTCTAGCGATTCAATAGGGTTCAGTTGTTCTGTGTCAGTTACTACCACACACGCCGAGGACTCCACCCAGACCTAGCTGCCATGTACAAGCAGCTGGTGTGTAGACTTGTAGAAGGTGTGCACGCTTACAGCTGCATGTGGCTTCGTGTCCCCTTCCAAGCTCCGAGGCGATGGTTGGAAGTCTTGAAAGAAGCGCACGAGAAAGGCAGGGCATGTGAGCGGCTTCTGCGGTTTGGTCACAAACTTCTGCTCGGCCTCGAGGGTTTCTCCGGGCATCGCCAACCCGTTCCGTTACGTTCCGCACAGTCTGCGCCCATCTGATGCCGGCGAGGCTTCCACCCGCACATTCCGGAGTTTGGGTTTGGCGCCATCGCCTCGGTGATGCGGTCGCTGCATCAGTGTTGCCACATCTTAAGAAGCTCTCACTCGTGATCGTGTAGGAACATGGTTGACAAGCCACATTGTTTCCCCGAATCTTCTGGCGTCCAGTCCCGCTGGCTCAGCTGGGACAGCGAGCGTGACAGAAAATGAAGCTCATGAGGACATGAGGATCTTTCCAGCCATTGGTGCCACGGTACGAAGGCGTTGAAAAGCGCGGCAAGGAATTTTAACGTTGGTAACTACCGGAAATGGTATAGCCATCCTGTGTTCCAGGTTAGAAGAAGGTGTCGTTTGAGTATGTATGAGTATACGGTCATGACCTTCGGAAATGCACCTGTCAGAGCAAAGTCCATACGCCGCGCAGGCCCTTAGACCATATATGGTCCCATTAATCAGAAGTGAGAGCACTGGGCACAGTAAATCCTTCAACCCTGAACCCTTATAGAACCCTTAAGGGATCCCTCTCCTGTGGTAACTTACAAACAAATCCCTTACTTTCATAAGAGCCCAGTCTAGAGAGCCAAGAGCAGCTTGCCGCTTCGCGGCAAAACTTTGCCCCCGCGATGCCGACTCGACGAGCGGCGTCCTCGGGCTGCCAAAGCGTCGTCGCGGTGGCGCTGGGCGTTGCCTTCGTGGCCGTGCCCGGCCTGTGGCCTGTCAGAGCTTTGGGACACCTTTAGGGAGGTGAGGGATCCGTTTAAGGGAGTTTATGGCTTGGGTTTAAGTTTAAGGGAGATTGGGAATTGGGACGAGCAGGATCGAGGGTTTTCGTTCGTCTGCATGTCTGATGTGAGCATTGCTGGAGGTATTTTGAGTTTTACCTCACCGGCGGCTACAAAGAGAGCCCCGGCACTGGACCACTGGGCCGCGAGGTCATCCAGGCGGCCGTGAAGCAGGCCCCGCCCCCAGACTGTCTGCAATTATTGTTTTCAAACGTTATAGTAGATTATAGTATTATGAGTCATGAGTCTGATTAGGGCCGGTTTGCCGCTGCACACTTTTGTAAACTGCCTTCTATGGTACGAAAGCCCCGTCGGAATGTCTTGTTTTGGCGCCTTTTTTGTTGTGGCCCGCGCTGGGCTTTTTCCACGCTTTTGCTTTTTGTTCCAGCGAGTTCTTGTAGATTCTAGTTTGCCGCCAAGCAACATGCAGCAGCATTTCTTTGGCCATTGGGCCAATGTATCGAGAACACAACAGTAATAATCTACTACGACGGCATGTCAGAGCTGGTTTTGCTGCAAGGTTTGTGTTGTTCTTAATGCTGGTGGGTCAAAGATTGCAAGCATGGCGAGACTTCCTCCGCAGGGACAGCCTGCGGACCAGAGCTGTTGAAGCCATCACGGTAGGCACCAGGCCGCTGAACGCTCTCTTCCAACGTCGTACCGAACCACTGAACATTACATGACGGTTGGCATGGATGCTCTCTTCCAAAGTCGTACTGGCTCATGGACTGTATTCAAGCAGAAGGGGAGCAGCCCAGTCGAACGGGACTAGTCATTTTGAGGAATGGGAACAAACATGAACACACCATCTCGAAAAAACATTAAGGGGTTTGAGAGGCAAAAGATGAGCAAGCCAGTCAGGAGCAAACGGCTTGAACGAGACTGGATGATTGAGGGAGATGCACAGCAAGCAGCACACTGCCTACTCGTGTAGCCTGGATATTTGATTATGAGATATGTCGACACAGAGGAGAATCGTAAAGCGGAGCAGACCATTCCACAGGGATTAGGCAAATGGAGAACAAGAGCACACCGCTCCATCACAGAATTTGAAGGAGTATGGCAAATTCGAGAATTACAGAAACATGTCAGAAGCTATGCTGTCGGTGTGCTTATCAAAAGATGGTTCCAGTCTTTCGGAAGGTCTTCCTGTGGATAGCCTGACAGATGACAGCAACAGCGACCCACAAGGAAACATAGATATTCAACTTAGGACATTAAGGAACGCACAGAGCGCTACTTGAGCAATCCGAGCAGCAGGATTCTTGCGGCAACTAACTCGCAAAATAATGCTGGTACAGCAACCAGAAACAAGAAGAATCACAGAACAAGAGAAACAAGAAAGAAGAGCAAATGAACAAAGGAAAGGATGGGAGATGGCTCATCTCAGGTGGACCTGGCGACCTCACAGGCCTGGAGCGCAGTGCAAAGGACGAAGTGGGGGGGCCGTTTGAGAGCGGTTCGGAAGAGGTTTTTTTGGAGGTGTGTGGAGAGACTGCGGTTTTATAGGCTTTTATAGGGCTTTTATAGGGTTTTATAGGGTTTTATAGGCTTTTATAGGCTTTTATAGGGCTTTTATAGGGCTTTCATAGGATTTTATAGGGTTTTACAAGCTTTTATAGGCTTTTATAGGGTTTTAGAGGGTTTTAGGGTTTCGGTGTAGCGTTTAGTTGCTAGAGGGACGGGATATTGCAAAATTTACACATGCGTGCTGGTCGAGCGACATAGCAAGGGCTTGAAACGTAGCCCGTTTAAGTTGCAGGACGGAGCCCCTGGTTGAAATCCCTCCGGTCGTCATGCCAAGCCAGCTCAGCGTGGCACAGCCAATCAAGGCCCGCGGGAGATCTCACAGTCAGCTTGCAGCCTCCAGCGAGACTCTATAAGATAAAGGTGCAGCTACTCAGCGACGAGCTCGCGGTCAGGGTCAGGTCAGGTCAAGCCTCGTGTTGAGACACATGGGCATGAAAGGCCACTCGCGACACAACGAGAATCAGCGCAACCTTCCTTTCTTGCAAGCCAAAAGGCTCTCGCCCAAGCTGGGCCGCCTCCGCCAGCACCACCGCCAGCACTGCCGCCGGCGCCGCCCCCAGCGCCGCAGCCAGCGCCGCCACCAGCGCCGCCGCCAGCGCCGCCGCCGGTACTGAATCTGCCAGAGGTTCCGGATCCTTCTGCACAGGCGGGGCGGGGCCACGCTCTGCGACGACAGCAGACAAGCCAATGAAGTCTGAAGGCCACTGGCGCTTACGTGGAGCAGCTCTTCGCAAAGAACCGAGTCACTCGGATCCGCTCCCCCCAATGGCCCAATCCCCTGCCTTGATTATCCTATAGGTGAGCAAAGTGTGGCGCCCCTGAGCTACTGTAGGCAACAGAAACTGTGGCTGGTGGGCAGAGCAAGGAGGGGGCAGCATCACCCACAAAGCCACAAAGCCTGCTGCCCATGCTTTCTGCGAATACACAACTTTGGACATGTTCCCAGGCATAAAACGATGATCGACGCACTCGAAATTGCATGTTTTTTGTAGTGCTAGTCAGGCAGTACAGCCCCCTCGATAGGCGTTTTCGGTGCGCTTTGTGACTCGAAGCCCCTGTTTGTTCTAAAGGTCCTGCTGAGTCCTGCTGTGTTCGGACCTTGCAGGTCCTTGCAGGGTATGTTGTGTCAGAGTCTTGTGGGCGCGGTTTGATTTGTTCTACCTCCAGAGTGTAAAGCTTGTCCCAACATATCCCAACATCAAGCGAGTGTTGTTTTGCAGCAAAGCTAAAGATGTCATCAAGGCTTTGCTTGCCACAGCTGCCGTCTCTTTGATAACAATCCAATGCAGGAGTTCGAAATGCCCCTATTAGTAGTTCCAGAAACACAACTTACAGGACCCTTCTGCTACACGTCTTCTACCGTCGTATGTGGAACTCCCAAGCTAATCCGCCCTAATTTTATGCGATCTTCATGTTTGTGGAGTGCATCGTACTAGCCGAGGAGTGCGCTGACCAGGCGATGGAGATAGGCAACCTCCCGACCGTACAGGCCCGCTGGAGATAGCAATGCAATTGCTATATATTCATACATATATATATACACATATGTACATATATTTACATATAAATTTATATGTATATATGTGTATAAGACATATAACTGCGGGTGTATGTACATAATACTGTATAGCGGAGGAGCCAAGAGAACTTGACAGGCAGCTTCCGAGCTACACACGAGTGGCAAAGTGCCACTGAGGGAGGTTCAAGCTAAGTCAGCTACTTATTTTGGCGGCATGGCAACTTACTGCGGCTCCTTAGAGGCATCCTAAGCCTACGGGCTTGACCTGTATTTTGGTAGAGCTAGTACGTCGGAAGAAGGCTTGACCAGCCTGTTTCGTCAGTGACGCAGCCAAGAGCCCGTGGCCGCACAGCATGAACATCACTGGCATCCCGCTAGACGTACCGATCTTGGCAGCAAAGTTGTTCATTACATGAGCTTTTTTGCCCGACTTATGGAGTACACAGCTTGAGCTGTCGGCTATCATGTCAAATCCACGGCTAGTTTCTTCCAGAATTGGCCGCTCTGCTTCTGCTTTTGTGCTAGCATGTGAGCAAAATGAGTAGACACGTTGCTGGAAGTCTCCCTTGTTGTCAGCAGGCCTGTGACGAAGTGGTGTCTCGGCGAGGAGCTTCAGAAATCTCATCCCATGGTTCGTTTCGAGCCGAGTCAGTGATGCAACTAAGGTTGCGACGAAGCTTGAGTGCGGCCGCTACTTCATGCTCCTCGGACTACCAAATCCCCGATTCTCATCGTGTCACCGCAGAAGCAAAGCTTTCCGAACATTTACGGCTTCGTGGAAGCCCAGGTTTAGCCACGCACATCCAGACTGGATTTGCCGCTGCTGCTCAGTCCACGGTGAGGAGCGGACAGCCGGGCTTGGTTTCGCCGTGAAGATACTTGATCTTGCGGGTCTCGTCTCCAAAGTTTGGGTTGGGGTGCTTGGCGGAGGAATTCCGCAACAGCTGCTTTCCCTGGCAGGAGGAAGGTCCGGCCTCAGATCAGTGGAACGTTTCTCGGCACCGGACATCTGCAAGCAAAATGATCCTAGGGCTTAGAGCAGAGAACGAAGACGAGAGGCTTTGCCAGACACAGTTCCAGTGACACCCAGGAAAGGCAGAGCCACGGCCAAACGCAAGAGCAAGCCTTCTCGTGTTTCCTAAACCCTAGAAACCCAAAACCCTACAGCTTGTCATATTGCCTGGGGCCCTGCCTGAAACCTCATAACCCTTCCTATAGGGGAGCGCAAGCCGCCAGAAGCCCGATGTAAAACTGCCTACATAAAGCCGAAACAATCCCACCAACAAATTCAAGAACCCTAGAATCGCTATAGAAGCCCTCGGATTCGTAGATGAAGTCCTAACTCCGACCGAGGTCTTCAAGGCCCAGGTTCCGAGGGCTCCGGGTTTGCCCTTGGAGCCGCCCACGGCGCCCCCGGCGGATCCTTTCGCCGGGCTTCCCATCGCGTGCCTTGGGCAGCAGAAAGGAAGGAACCCACTAACGACAGCAAGGAAGTCTTCTTCAAGTTCGGGACACTTGGGAACCCCGAAAAGAGATGCGGTGCTACATGGCTGTGAGGATCCTCCTTGCAAGCGGGTGGGCAGTTCAGTCTACGGCCGCACGCGCAATCGCGTGAAACCGCCAAGGCCAGGGCCAAGGCCCCAGTGGCTGGCGCGGAAAGATGCACTGGCGCCTCGGCGGAGTTTCAGGCGGTCGCTGCGTCGTGGTTGAAAGCTCTGGAGAAGCAGATCTATGCAAGCCCAGGCCGAAGCCAAGCCCCGACTGTTGGACCCATATCTGCCGCGGACGCATCACTGCATCTTCGGAGGTCATCGATGCAAGACCAGAGGAGCACGGCGGCATCGTCATCCTCCAGGCCAGGCCCAGTGCAACCTCGCAGAATTGGCAACACAGACTCTGACCTGGGCAGGGAGAAGACGTGTTGTGATTCTCTAAGAGGGCCACGCTGCTTTCGTGTGCTGTTAACAACTCGGCTTTGACTTTGAAGGCTGTCCTGAGCGATTCGCATGCCACCTGGGGCAACAGCAAGGACTGCAACCGCTCTCAGTGCTGAGCCGCATGAGGCATGGAAAGAGCATGATTTTTGGCCGTCTAAAGCAGTAGTGTCAGCCCCCACAGTGTCTTGCGGCTCTTATGTCACTGAACCCAGCGGCAGTGTCAACACCCGTGAACACCCTGTAAGTAGTATGATTAAGGACCCTCGGCCGAAAGAAACCTCGCGTGCTCGGCCAGGATGCGCAACGTCTCGAAGACCGACCTGACTGGCTTCGAGCGATCTTGGCACCATGGCGCGCAAACAAACATTGGTCCTAGCGCTGTCGAAGCAGCCGAACCCCATTATTGGGAGTAGAAATGAACATCAAATCCTGGCCGGCGGCAATCATGCTCGCGTGCTGCTTCGGTTTGCATCGGGCTTCGGAGGTTTGGTTGCGATCTCGCCGAGGCCACAAATCGGGCCCACGCGAAGACGCACGGCCACGCTATGGTGCTTCGCGCGGCCTGGCCTGAGAAGGTCAGCCCACGATGAAGAACTCGGAAGCCTGTCGCCAAAGAGTGGGCACAAAAGCTTCAGACTTTCACACAAGCCTTACCGAAGCTTTGCGAAGCGCATTCAGCTGAAGCCAAGGCTCATCCGACCGAGCCGCAGCTCACAGAGTCTCGGCACACACTTCTTGGGCGATTCGCAAGCTAAGTTGGTTAAGTTGATCTGGTGTCAAGATCTCTGGAGCGACGGCGAGCTCGAACCGTAGTTGCTGGATGTTTTTAGGGCTGTAAGGTGATGATGCTGCATGGCCTGTTCATTCATGTTTTGCGGCGAGGATTGGATGATCAGCGACTGTGGCAAAAAGTCCCTGCGCGTGTGCGCAAAGGTCAATGAGCGAGAGAACCCCGGATGCGCTCAGATACCTTTACAATTCTCGAATCAGCTTTTCATTATTTACTCTTCCACCTTTTGCATCAGGGCACCTTCGAGCTCTGCCGAAAACCCTTCGGCCCCGTTCGTGGCAATTCGTGGGGAAGATTTGCAGAGCCCAACTCCCTTGAAGCCAGTTCACAGCTGAGGACGTACAACTGGGAGAAGCATCTGATGATGCAGGACTACCTTTTGAGTCCACAAGCTTTCACCCATGTGCCCCGGACCGGGGAAGGCTAAGACTAATATGCCCCTGAGCCGGGTGCTAATCGATGTGGACATCAAGGAGTTCCTACGTCCCAGTTCTCGCGGCAACCATCACAAAAGCGAGCAAAGCCACGGGCCTTCAGCGACCGTCTCGCCAGGTACTCATGCTGGACGCAGACGCTGCGCTGATCCAGCCGCAGCTTAACACCTTACACCGAATCGCCGACATCTTGGACGCTTTGAAAGCTCTACTTGTCGTCCTAGGGATCCTGTGCTTCTTGTCATTGCAGAGATGCTCTGGGCAGTAGGTTGTGAACATAGTTCCTGTGCCTTCCGTGCAGAGACAGGGTCGGACATTGGGCTGCATTTCTGTTGGGGTGCGTACTTGGTGCTCTGGAGCTGCAGGACCGGAAGGGCAAAGATCTCTTCCTGACCAACGAGGTGCCGGAAAAGCGTGGTTGCTTTTGAAGCTTTTTGAGCTTGGGCAGGGCTTGCAGGCCTTCTGAGTTCCGCAGGACTGGTTGGACCAGAATGGCGAGGCGCGCATCAACGGCGGGTTGATGCTGGCGAAAAACACGCAGTTTACGCACCTTTGCATGCAGTCGCCCAGACGCCAGTGCCACACTCCCTGCATGCAAAGCCGGACGCTCTGCGGATCTTTGCCCCTCCAAGGCAGAACTTGTTCCAAGACACCTTCGATGCCCACGTGGCCGGGTACAAGCTGCTGAAGAAGGTCGGTGATGCCTTCCCGTAGCGAAGCTTGAGGCAAAGATGGCCTATCGCCTCTCTCTGCAGGGACTGAAATCGCTTGAAGCAGATCCCAGTGCTTGTGGGGTTTCTCTGTTTTGCTTGAAGCATCTTGAAGCCAGTATTATGTGAATGGCTATGAATACGAATGCAATTCCAGAGGCCCGCATCGGCACGCCCGTGATCCGGTGCACCAGACGCTTGGTGAATCCACATTTTCCGGTGGATGTCATGTTAAAGGCGGTGGTGAGCAAGCTTGTCAAGAGGTCCTCCCTTTACATGAGACCTGCATACGTGGCTGCTGTTCAATACTGTACGATAAAAAAATCAAGCCACGACCCGCACTGACAGGTTGCAGGAGCATTGTTGCCATTGTAGTTACCTCTACTTTGCGCTTACATTCCCGTTTAATTTCGGTGAATCTTATGTGCATTTCACGCAGTGCCTGCAGCTATTTGCGCTGACTGGCTCGTGGTTGGGACGTTTGTTGAGTTCATCTCTCCAGAAAGCGCTTGGTCCTGTGAGGCAACGAGCAGATCTGTCTCAATGACCTGTACTATGGCGACACTCAGCATTTCACTTCAAAGGTGGCCAGCTGGGAACCTTGAAGTCATTTTCTTTGGAATGTCCGAGGGCTCAAGACTAGGAGGGGCCAGCATCCAGACACATGCATCCGCTATCTCCTCGCTTTGACTTCAAGCGCGGCGAGTGCGACTAAATCAACACCTGGGCAAGACTTCCAGCGCATACCCTGAACCCTGAAGCCAAAGCCCCTATATGGTCTTGAATCCAAGACTTCCCACGCCATGTTTGCAGGTCATCATGGCCAGTGGGAAGAAATACAACCGCGGAGCCGAGAGAGGCCGCGTCGAAGTTCCTCGTATGCCTGAAACACAAAGGGGCTGTGGCTGTAGTCGTCGTCGTCGTACACCCCAAAAGAACCGCCATGCCTGCAGAGTAGACGTTGAAGAATTGGTTTTCGCCATGACCACTCCACGGTCAATAGGCCACTGCAAGGCTGGCCAAGCAAGCATCATGCTCAAAGTGAGTCAGTCTGGCACAGAATCAATCTGTGCGCCATCCTGAGCATTGCTGACGATAGAAGGCCTACAGGGTTCAGAACCATGGATCCTGTGTATTTGTTGGTTTTTTGAAAGGACGATGACGAAGCAAGGTCTCTAGAGCTCCCACCGGGCTGGTTTCGCACAGGTGGCGAGGCCCACATCACCGACGAGACCACCGAGATCATGCAGCTGAGCGATCAAACAAGATGCTTGACAGAGTGGAACTCTGCTTGATGCGACGCCTCCTCACAAGACTCTGCGACGTGACCCGGGATAGTTCCGCGCATGCTGCCGACAAGTTGACGCTGAGCTCCTTGAGGCATTGGATGGGCGGCGCAAAGGCCACAGCCGGCCAGGCGCTTTGCCGAGGCGGCCCGTGAACATTTCAGCTAAGTAGTACTATATTGTACCGTAATGAAGCTCGTAACTTAAATGTTGCGTGAGTGGTTATGACTCCTGGACTCAGTCACCTGGATTAGGCCATACTTACTTAGGCTACTGATCCTTCAGACTCCAGTGTTGACATTGATTGCAAAATTTTCGGCTGTGACGGGGGGAGACGTTCTGTTCATTGGCGACGCTTGTGCTGCAGCATGCCCCGTCACATCTCCAGACCAGAGGATTTCAAGCCACTGGAGATGGGAAGCTGCCCTGGGTTCCGTTGAATTTCAGTTACCATCAGCCATAAGCGGGACCTATAGTAAGTAATCCGGCACCCTCTAAGTAATACGGCGATACGAACAAGAGCCCAGTTCCTTGCCGCGGCAGGACAGCGGGACTTGACCTTCGAAGGGCCAGACGGATACGGCTGCAAAATGGAGCGCCGATGCCACTGTAGACACTTCCTTATTGTCAGACCCCGTTCAACGCTCAAGGCCTTGCGCAGTATATCCAAGGGCCTACTGTCGGGACATGCACAAAGTGGTCCGATAATCTCTATAAGCTCTAAGCGAAGCGTCGGCTGGTCACAAGCAACGAAAATCAAAGACAAGACAGCGGCACCTTCCTCTACCCCGCACTCCAGACGTAGCTCTACCTGATCATAGTAAGTCTTGAACCAATGCACGGCCTGACCCTAAGTTTTGGAGCACCTCATTTGCCAAGGATGCGACATCTTATCGCTTGATCGAGGCCACGGCCGTTGTTGCTGTCCTGGCTATCATTGGCGGTCAGCTACTCACGAAAGCCCGAGAGCCAAGAGCAAGATTTAATCCGTTCAACTTGAGAATGCAGTAGACAGAGCTATGCATCACATTTCGACCAAGTGGGGGCCTAGCGAAACTGCACCGGCAGAAATGTTCCAAGGCTAACATGCATGCATCCCGGATATTGGCTTAGCATCTGGCCAGAGTGCACAGCGTCTGGAGCAGTACAAGTCCCACCCAACTGAGGCGAAGTTTTCCCGGCTCAAGGCACTCCAATCCAAGCGCGCACAGAAACATGGTGCACAAAGCAGCCAGAAACGGCCTGGTGCTCAAGTAGCACAAAGCCCATTGTCCACACAGGCCGTGGCAGATCCGTAGGAGCAGATGAAGCTGGCGAACAATAGCGCCATCAACCCGACTAAGCCAGTAAGCCGATGCAGAAGTGATTTGAAACATCAGGTCAGATGCATAAAAACGAAAAACACAAAAAAGAATAACGATAAGCAAATAGCGGCCATGTAGAATGGCTGCTTCGCTGAACTTTGTGTCGTACAGAGCAGTTGTTCCAAGCATACCATGTCTCTTATCTTTCCTCGCTTGTGGACTTCGATTCCAGCCATGCGAGAGGGAAAAAAGTAAGCCGCCAAGCCACAGCCGAAGTAATTGACACGTGCGACAAGCAGACCGTCGACCCTTGACAACAAAGCAAGACAAGCCTTGTTCTGGCTTGTGGACTCTGACAAGTTTGTATGCCCCAGACACATTAAGCGAGAAAGCACACAACTGCTACTCACTGCCTGAGTTGGACAGAAGATGCTGAACACCCTCAAGCGTGGGATTCTCAGACCCTCTCCAGAATCCAACCAGCAGCAGTAGCTCCTGACCCGGAGCAGTTGCCAACTAGCCTGTCTCTTTCGCGCAAGTCTATCGCCAGCCTGAAATTGCCGGTCAGCTGCCCGCTGCGGCCAACTTTTTGCCAAGGGCGGAGAGAGAGAGTGAGAGAGAGAGAGAGAGATCTGGATTCCACACTCATAGGAAAGGGATGCAAGGGTATGCCATGTGAGAGGGCTGCCAGTGCGATGTTATTTCAGTGTGGCTGCGTTGAGTGTTGTCGACAGCCATCAACATACATGCAGTGTCCTTGCCAGCGCACGCGCTCGGTGCAAGCCTGCTGTCGCAGTCGACTCGTCCACGAGCCTGGAATGCCGCGCTTGAGCGATCCAATAGCAGGTATACTATGAAAGGCTTTATATCTCCAGCCCAACCGCCTCTCCAGAAACCTGGTCTAAATCTGCAGGAGGTGATCAAGACCACGAAGGAATCCGGCGCCATCCGTCATGGTGCAGAGTGCTTCAACTTCTACTTTCCGCAGGCCGCCGGCTTCATGCTTCGCCTTCTCCAAACGGGGTGCGAAACGAAAGCTGAAGTCAAGCCGCGACTCTGTTCTAGGATCAGCCGCGAGCCCGTGTGCTTGTTGAAGGGGCACACAGTAAACTTCAGTAAGCAGTGGTGTTTCCTTGTAAGCAGCACCGGAACAACAGAAAACCCAACGACGAGTGAAGAGCCAACGGGAGGAGTTGGACACCAACTTCCTCGTTGCTCGAGCCTCAGTGCGGCGAGGCTCAGTTTGGAGGCACACCGCGGAGGGAGCGGTTCTCGGGTTGGAAGCCGCGGCATGGTGAGCACGTTCTGGGTCTTGCAACAGGAAAGAAGCTCCAAACAAGACGGCACCACTTTGCTTCATGGGCAATGGACATCCCAGCGTGTGATGTCGCAGAAGTCCTCCATGGCCGCCTCATTTCTCACAGACACAGACTGAGGTGTGGGAAGGCTTCCATGATATCGACGGCAAGTCATGGCCTTGGACAATGTTCGGACTGCAGGGCGAAGAGCAGCCATCGTCGGACTCGCGTCCTTAAACCTCTGTGCAGAGTTTTTGAAAGCCTGCGTTTGGACTCCGGCTCTTCAGAACTATTTGCTGCTCGCATATTCACACATGATCCGTGACATGCCGTATTCTCAAACGAACGTAGGGTCCAAATGGCTGAAGCCGTTTCCCATCCCGGCCGAGCTAAGGCCCTGGGCCTACATGGATGAGGAATCCGCCGACAGACGTGTCGGCATTGAATTCTGAAGCGGGTCAGATTAAGGCTTCGAAAGGTCCAAGCGCAACCACGCCAGTGGAGCCACGAATCTGAAGCCTTGCAGGACGAGCTCCGCGACTTCCTCACAGAGCGTGCCCGGAGCCCGACTTTTGCGAACTTTGGCCATGATGCAATCGCTTTGTAGAGGATGCCTCCCGAGTCTGTGGACCAAATTCCCAGCAGAAAGGATTTGATCCGAGGAAGATGAAGATCAGCTGTCGCGCAAGTCCGGCCTTCGCAGACAGGACATTCTCATGTCCACTTGGAGGTTCAGGGGTAGTTATAGGTGGGGATATAAGTCCCCTAACATGAGTTAGAAGCACTGTTGAGTCCGCCATACGAGCCGACGCTATAGTCCGCCATGCGCGCTGACGCAGTTTTGCCATATAGAAGTATAGTTACCCTGCTTATAAACTACCCCTGAACCTCCAAGTAGTGACTACTTCGCCAAGTATACGTAATCCTTCACCAGTTCAGCCAGGCATAGCCCCGAACAAAAACTAGCGGGCTTTCTTTGTGGGGCCTTGCACGGAACATTGACTGAGCTCTGATCTTCAGAAGTCCCAGGTCGAGGAGAACTACGCCCTGCCTCTGAATCCGATTTGGTCCGGGCCTGCGTTGCAGGAGGGAAGTGTGAGGCTGATCCGACAGCCCAAGACAATCCTACGTGGTCCTGGCCCGTGGCTTCTTACGAAAGATTGAGGTGTGTTCGGGACCTCGGCTGGTTCGACATACTGGAGCATCAAATTGAGTCCATAGCTCAGTTTGACAGTATGTTTTTTGGTTTTAGGTGCCCTAGCCCTGCGAAGCAAATCTGATGTGTCCACAGCTCGGCCCTCTGAGGAACCAGAGCTGCAAAGCAGCGCTGGAGGTCGCCGTCCCAGTCACCTTGCCTCACTTTGGGGTCTGTATCAGGGTCCCTTGTGGCGCCAGGGCGAACACTAGCTTTGCAATCATGGCTCAGAGCGTTTCTCTCTGCACTTCCTTCCGCCCATTTGTGCCAAGGCCTGGTACCCAGAGCAGCCGAGAGCTTAGACTTCAGCTGATGTCGAGGGCTCGAGCCTTTGGGAGGTTTCTGGCCTTGCGGGAATGATGTTCTTGCACCTCGTGCCCACAACAAGCACTCTTTACATCCGAATCTGCGGAAATGCGGACAGTCAGAAAGTTTACAACTCCCGCTTGACCACGTCTTCGTCGGCTGCGCGTTTTTGTTAGTCGCCTGCTCAGGTCCGGCATTCTTGAGAAGATAAAGGCTCTTGCAGACATCAGCTTTTGGTTTGCGCATGCAACCTCTGCCACGAGAACTTGCACACATCATGCTCTGGCATGCAAATGTGCGGTGGATGCTGGGTATTGAAACGTCCAGTCCTTCGTTTTGACAGGATGCCAGATCTTATATCAGCCATGCTGACGGTCGCTGCATGGTCCGTCTAGACGCAATACATGGGAATGCCGCAATGCCAGAGTTATGGAGACAGGTCGTCCCCCACGCCAGGCACTGCACGAGGAGTTCACAGAGGGCCTCGAGCTGAAAGCAAGCGCGGACGTTCCTTCCCCAGGTATACATGCAGACTCGTTGGGCATCAGCTGATAAATTTGAAGTTCGGTGAATGCGTTAGCTTGTTTGCTAAATGCCTTGGAACCGTGTTGTTTTCCTGCGTTATAGTCTTTAGCGCTGAGACGCCAAGTAGGCCTCGCAAGTCGCGACTCAGACTCTGCGACTCTGTGCTTTGCTCAGAACGCGCGGCCTCTGGTCCGGACTTTGTCGCATTGCCCTGACCTGGACATGTCGGAGAAGGCCAGCGGACGGAGGACGGAGGGACTGAGCCTTTTCGAAGCCATTGGTGGTTAGCTGGTAGGGCCCCCTTTCCAAACTCGCAGGCTATCATTGAATCATGAGTCTTGTGCTTGTGCCTGGGCGAGGCCATGCTGGCCATTTCACAGGCGTCCTCTGCGGGGAGTAGGCTGGGCCGCCCAAGCACTCCCCGAAGCCTCAAGTTGCCACAGAGCCAGTTTCTGAAGTTCGGATGCGAAGCAAAGAGGAACTCATGATGCAACGCAGCAGGCACGAGCCAATAGCTTCTTCAATTTTAAGGGTGCTTTCAGGGACATGTCGAAAAGGATCCTCGTCTTCGGCGCCACCGGCAAGCAGGGTGGTGCCGTCATCCGCGAGATCCTGTCTGCCTTCGGCAGTACGGCCACTGTCTATGCGGTGACCCGCGGCTCTTCCTCCCCAGCTGCTCAGAAGCTGGAGCAGCAAGGTGTCAAGCTCGTGATCGGCGATATGGAGGACTCGCGCCCGGACTCCCCTCTGAAGGCCGCGATTGCCGAGGCAAAGCCCACACACGTCTTTCTCATGTCGAACGAGAAGGCGGCCATGTTCTCGAAGGGCAGCGGCTGCAGTCAGGAGCTCGCGGCGGCAAACCGCATGCTTGACTTCCTGGAGGCGTGCGGAACTGTGGAGTACGTGGTTATGAGCTCGGTCGCTGGCTGCCACCAGGGGGCCCAATATTCGATGCCGAACTTCAAGGTGAAGGAAGACATCGAAGCCGCCCTGCAGAGCCGGTCGTCCCTGAAGTGGACGGTGCTTCGCCTGGTTACGCTCATGGACAACTTTGTGGACAAAGAGTATGGCGGAGCGACGAAGACAAGTGTCACGGGCTTGGCTAACAATTCCACGATGGAGATGTGGTACGTGAGCTGCAGGGACTTGGGAGTGGCAGTGGCGACATGTTTCGCCAAGCCCGACTTCGTCGGAAAGACCATCAACCTTGCGAGCCAAAAGCTCAGCGGTGAAGAGATCGCCTCGGTCTACGCCAAGGTGATTAAGACAGATGCCAAGGTGAAGTACACGCCAGTGATGGGACCCTGCCTCATGAGCATGGGGTTCTTGATGCCAGACTTCGTGGCGATGCACAGGTACTGGGAGAAGGTTGGCTATCCCATCGAAGAGAGCGACCAGGAAGCCTTCAAAGCTCTGGTGCCTGAGCCCTGGACAATCGAAGACTACTTCACGAGCCTTGGCGACAGAATCCCAATGTGAGGTGAAGCGTCTGCGAATGTCTGCCATGGACGACGTACTACGCCTACTACGCACTGCCCATGAGCCAGGGTGACAGAACCCCGCTCTTGCGGTAGACTGTGTTGGATGCACCCGGCACCCTTCAGTTTGAGAGTTTTGTACAGTGTGGATAATGGGCCACACCCTCGGGGCCAACCTTCCGGCTTGGAGGTGTTCCCTGTGTAGCCGAGCCAGCAGCCAGAAGTCATCGACGAAAACTGCTGCGCCGTGACCCGCAGCATCACAAGCTGCATGCAGCAGAACACGGCCTGCCTCATCATGCCAGTATCTGAAAAACTCTGACTTCAGTTAAGGAGGAGCAGGCCCTTCCCAGAATCCCAGAATAAACATGAAAGAACTCAGCACTTGCTGTCGTGCACGGATTTGTTGCGAACAAGGTGGACCACTGCCCGGCTTAAAGACGGAGCCCAAGAGGGACGATGAGTGTCGCAGCACTTTGAACTACAGTATTCAGTATTCAGCTTCAGCGCGCCGAGGTCAATGTCCTGCAGCAAATAAAACGGCCAAGTCGCCATCTCAGTCACGGAGCGGCCTTGTCCTTCGATGGTGGGCTACATGCATGCTTATGCTTAGAAATCATTGCTGGCTGCGCTGGAGCATGAAAGCCATTTCATAAAACCGGTGCAATGGAAAAAAGCAGGAGATTTCATGCCGAAGTTTGCGTTTCATGCTTTCAAGGCATGGCCGTTCATCATCTGCTTGGCAAGTGAGATTCTGGCGTTTCACTCGTTTTCCCCACTCTACAACCGAAAGGTAGGATTGCCAAGTTCGGCTTTTATCACAGCCGCGGAATTTATGGATTCGTTTATTACTGCTTGTGTCAGTCTGCCACCATCTTAATACACATATCTTGCTTCTTTCTTGGCAATCTATATTGACAACACTATTCCTGGTCATTTTGTGTTTTGTTGATGTTGCTACCGTTGTTGTTGTTGTTGTTGTTGTTGCTGCTGTTGCTGTTGCTGTGGTGGTTGCTGCTGCTGCTGCTGCTGCTGCTGCTGCTCTTGTTGTTGTTGTTGTTGTTGCTGCTGTTGTTGTTCTTGTCGTCGTCGTTGTTTCGTTTTTTCTTTTATTGTTGTTGTGGTGGTGGTTGTCGTCGTTGTCGTTATTGTTTCTGCTGCTGGTGCTGCTGGTGTTGTTGTTGCTGTTGGTGTTAGTGAAAAACTGTTAGTGTTGTGTTTGGTGTTGTTCCTGTTGGTGTTGGTGCAGTTATTGGTGACGATGCTGGCGTTGTTCTTGGTGCTGCTGTTTTTCGTGTTGGTGTTGACATTGTGGGCGTCGGTTGTTGTTTGATATTTGAAGTTTGAGGTTTGTTGATGGGTGTTTCTTGTCTGTCATTTGCCGTTTGTTGTTTGGGGGTTCGTGTTTTGGTTCGTGTTTGTTGTCTGTTGGTGTGACTGTCGTTGGTGTTCTTTGTTGCTGTTTGGTGTTGTTGTTGGTTGGCTGTTGTTGTTAAGGTCAGCTGAGTTTTCATTGTCTATGCTCGTTCTGCTTTCTTGATGCAATGCTTATTGTTATGGTCATGGTGATAGCGCCTACTACTACTACTACTACTACTACCACTACTACTACTACTACTACTACTACTACTACTACTACTACTACTACTACTACTACTACTACTACTACTGTTACTACTACTACTATTACTACTACTACTACTATTACTACTACTACTAGTACTAGTATTAAAGATTCAGGGGGGCGGGGTTTCGGGTTCACGGCGTCGAGCTCAGATCACGGGCAGGGGGGGTGGGAGGGGCAGTGCGAAGGGCTTGTCCCTCCACCCCCCTCCCCGATCCCCCCCCGATTGGAGGAGCGTCCTTGCTCATACTCCAAAATTTTTGGATGCTTCCGTGATCTGAGCTCTTGCCGCTTCGGGTTTAGGGTTTAGGGTTTAGGGGTTTATGAGGCACAACCGTCGCTGCTATACTATTACTACTGCGATTATTACTACTACCACCACTACGACTACCCGTACTATTCGTACTAGTACTAGACTACTACTACTACTACTACGACTACTATTATTGGATTTACTACTACTACTACTACTACTACTACTACTACTACTACTACTACTACTACTACTACTACTACTAGTAATACTACTACTAGTACTACTACTACTACTATTACTACTACTACTACTACTACTACTACTACTACTACTACTACTACTACTACTACTACTACTACTACTACTACTACTACTACTACTACTATTTTTCAATTGAACGCTGCGCGAGCGTGCTCTGCGCTTTGCGGGCGCCTTTGGTCTCGTGCACTCGTGAAACTGCTTCTAGCATGCATCGCTCAGGTCTCTCTAATCAGCTCGAACTTGACATACTACTGCAACTGCTACTGCTACAAAAAAGCTTCCTTCTCCGACACCTTGGTGTGAACAGACGCGTCCATCTGTGCACCTGTCTCAACAATTAGGCCGTACCTCAGACGAAGCCGCCACCTGGAGTATCCGTCTCGTGGCGTCCCACACGGATTACTCATGTTGAAGACAGAAGGCCGTAAGGGTCATGTGCGGATGACCGCTGGTACCTGAAGCAACTCCGGTGGCGTGAGACTTTGGGCAGTTTGGATGTGGGCAACTCGCTGAAGCGCAAAGTGCTGTTTTAAGCGAGGCTAGCACGCGGTTCACAGTCTTCCGAAGAGATGTGCTAGGCGTCGGAAGAGTGCCGAATTCCCTGAGTCTGTGACATAAGGGATCATAGAGTCTGTGACATATTACCGCCCTCACTGGTCATGACCTTTTGGCCACTGCTGAGAGTAACCATGCCAGGACCACTGCTGCCACCAGTCCCAGTCGTCATCCTGAGATGAGCGTGCCTGTCTGGCCCACTGGGACGAGGAAGATGAGGAGGGGCCATCGCGCTGCCGCTTGCCCTCTGTGTCAGCCTCCTGCATCTGTGGGCGCTTGTTGGGGGCAGCAGCAGCCAGTTTGGCCATGCGCTTGTCCTCTTCGTTCCCCTTGTCATGCTGTATCCGCATCTTCATGATGGAGTAGGCATTTTTGTCGGGTTTGACCCGGAAAACACGAGCTGGGAGTCCGGCTGATTTGGCCGTCTCATTGTAGACTGCCACTATGGTGGTGGCGATCATATTGAACTCGACCCACGAGGGGAAATGCTGCCGAAAGGCCGTTTCGTCCCACATCTTGTTGAAGCAGGCATGGATAAGGCCATGCACCTTTGTTGGTGCGTCCAGCTCACGGTAGGCGTCACCCGCGCCTGTGGCGATGGTGACCTTCCCATCGCTTGTGAGGACCCGCCTCACCGACATGGCGGTGTCCCATGTGAGGCCGGGTTGCGTCCTTACGGACTTGATGGCAGAGAACAGCGGCGGAACTTCTCGGAGTGCTTCCATCCTGGTAGACCAAAGGGTCTGTTGTTCCTGGTTGGTGAGGCCGCCAAGAATGACCGGAGCCACCAGGATGTTGATGGAAGCCAAGGCCCGAATCCAGTCCTGATGGGACTGGGAGCTCAGCAGCTGAGCCAGCTCCTGCCGCGTGTAACGTACTGTCAGCCGTGGAGCCGGCTGTGGGACATAGCCGACCGACGAGTTCCGCATTGGATTCCGGAGGCTCATATGCTGACGGGGGACGGGAAGAAGGAGGAGGGGGCGTGTGGGAGCGCGGAGCGGCCTGGGTGGCGGGGGTTGGGGGAGAGACGGACTTGGGGGGGTGCGGAAGGATCGGGAAAACTGGAATCGCCGGAGGGGGAGCTGGTGCTGCCGAGGATGAAGAGGGCGGGGGGCATTGGGTGGCCACCATGGGCGGTGGGGCCTTAACCGGAAGCTCCGGGGCCGCCTTCGGTGTCTCTGCTTGGCCTGCTTTGAAAGCCGCCTTTTCAGCTGCTGAGGAAGTGAAAGGGCACGGGGGGGAGGGTGGCGGCTCGAAGCCGGCTGCTTTGTCTATACCTTTGGTCCTGGTACTGCTGGGGGGAAGAGGAATTTCCTGTGGGAGCTTGGGGGGAGGAGGAGGGGGAGGAGTGTGGGGGTCCGGTGTGGCACTGAGTGCCGGGTTGTGCTTCTGAGTGACAAAGTGGTTTTTAAGGCCGTGGCTAGTGCTGAATTGCACCTGCCTGTTGTGCTTCCGGCAGTGCAAGCAGCATAACCACATGTCCCCCGAAACTTTCACTTGCCCTAATCCTCGAGGGATAAGCTCCAGCACATCCTGCTCTGTAAGGTCTTGGTTGTAGTGGTGGGTTTCACGGACCGTAGCCATGATCTCTGCAAAGGAGTTGTGCTGGATGCTGTCGGCCACATAGGCTTCAATATCCTCCTGAGTGGGAGGCGGGGGAGCCGATGAGGCGGTTGCCATGGTCTGTGACCTAGGTGGCTGTGGTGAGCTGTGCTCTTCAGGTCTGTCAGACTGGATTTCAAGGGAGATGTCAGGGAGTTGGCTCTGCAGCATGCGGTCTGTGCGTTCTTTGGTGGTTGGGTCTCCCTGAAATCCTTTCAGCCACTTCCAACACCGGGTATATGCAACGGTCGTGTTGTTGGAAGTCACGAAATAGTGGCCATCATTGTCATACTTCTTGTTCTTCACTCGCTTGTCCCAGCGCTCCGAGAACAGGTAGATGGGGCCAAATTTGGTGGAAACATTCCATCCCGGCTGAGGGGAGTGACCAAGGTCACGACCCAAGATCTGCCAAAGAAATTTGCAGAAGGTCATGTATTCCAAGTTTGCCTTCGCTGTCATAACCTGACGGCTGAAGGCGTGCTGTATGGCTTCCCTCATCAAGGGGTGTCTGGGCTTGCCATAGATGATGCCTTGAAAAATATGATCTCCTTTGACTCCTATGGCCATGACCATGCACTCCTGTGGGAGTTGGCCAGGTGGGGAGGGTCTGTGACCCACTTCACCTGCCTTCTTTGAGTGAGCTGTGCCCCAATCTGCTGCGAGATACACGAGTACCTGTTCCCAAGGTACCACGAAGCCACAT